AGGTGCTCAGACCTCTCATCTAGGATTGGACAAAACCGCCATAACAGCCCTTGCATGCTTTCACAAAATTGGAAACACGATTGACAGCAAGGATCTCCGCTCAGCCCCCTTCGGCGTCCTTCTAGAAGGTCTGGAGGTTCAGCACCTTGCCGAATAAGAGCGCAGAGCAGACGAGAAAAGGCTCCGCTAAAGCAAGCCATCAGGTCTTCTGACTCGAGTTCTTTGTGATCTCCGCAGTCTCAAACAACTGCGTTTCATGGAGACACCCCCTTCTCCTGATCGCCTGTTCTGGCAGGTCTTAAGATAACCACGTTGCATCTTGTTTCATGTTATTCATTGTTGATGCTATTCTCATCGTCCCGAGGGGAGGGTTAAAGTGAGCAAGGCTCCGTATAATGGGAATCCAGACGCTAGATAGCATCAAAAAAAAGGAATAGACTGAAGAGATATGAATCAATCACCTGTTCATGCGAATCCAGCCAGACTAAACAAGTAGGCTTCTACATTTACTGTAATGCCTGTCTCTTCTACTCCCCAATGAACCCCTTCGTTGAACGCCTTCTCTGCAGGGGTACCGGTTGGTCCGGCAAAAACAGGATGAATTATGTCGTGATTCGCCGCGATATCCTCAACACAGATGAAAGAAGATAGAAAAAGAAAACCAAAAGAGCTGTCTCCTTTCTCGGTTGGTGGAGCAAGCGGCTGTCCTTCGCCATCGATGCCATGAACAACACACCCATCACAAGCCCATCTGTAGCAACCCAGTATGCCACGCTCTGCCATGTGTGGCCAGTCAAATGGGGCGAGATGGAGAGGGGAAGACATGGGGTTGACAGGCCTACCAGAAAATTCACGCAAATGAGGATCGCCATTCGACATCACAGTGATGTCTTCAAGCCCTATTGACCCCAAAATACCCTATCAGATCCCTGACCAGGAGACAGCGGTAAAGAAGCAACAGTCATCATCGGCTATCAAAGCCATGGAAATGTTCAGACCGCTATTGCAAAGCAACCAGCTGCACAGCCACGGTCTCTAAAGGCAGACCAGCAGGGGTGGTAGACGCTTTTAAGCTCGAAAGAGGAAACTGCCGGCGAGAATCTACAGTATGGCCAGTAGGCACACGTCAATGTTATCATCCAACAACCAACATAGCCCACGATTGGCTAAGCGATCGACGGTTTTCTGCCATACTGCGCAGAGCAGCTGCAACGCCGGAGTTGGGTTTAGCGTGGATGCTTCTCATTAATCGGATTTCTTGTCTAGACGCCATATTCGCTTGTAATTATGGACCATGCTGTTTCTGGTCTACATGTGCATGTATGTGAAATGTTTGTATGTTTTCTTTTTGTGCCGGTGGCCATAGCTGTGAATAGCGTCAGTAACGGGTGTCGATCTTCATATCGTCGATACTCCAATGTGTTTTCCCCAATCTGGCTTTGTGTCTCGAAGGTGGAGTCGTGTTCACATTTCTGGTTGTCGTGACTCTAACTACGCCCCGTCGAGGCTGGAATCCGTGTGTCAGACCCGAATATCATAACATTTGGCACGAATCATGATATTATGTTTCTTTTTAGGCTTTCACTCGCCTATATTGGCGGCTTTGGGGCAGTCTGATGAGACTCTATTCATATATCTTTTTCGGCGCCGCCGAAAGGTAGAGGCAGAAGTTAAATATCGGGTGGAAAGCTAAATGCCAGCTTCAGCTAATCTGGATGTGTCACTTCAGGAAGGAGTCTGGAGTTCTGAGCTCGGAGATCTCAAAAGATTCTAATCCTAACCTAATGACCGCTTGACCAGATTGCAAACTACACAGTGACCATTGATCTACTAACCATTAGCCGAGAGGCGAAGGCAACCTGACACGGGGGCATCGGCCGCTTCGGCCGAGCTCGTCGGAAGATTGGCCAAGTCCAGCGAGACCCCTGCAGTCAGTGCGCTAGATGCTGCATCAATGGCATGAGAGGACGGTCACCTGAAATCTGGAGCCCATCGGTAAGGCCGACAGAAGAGAGGCATACTGTATTGAACAGTTAGCCCTACAGAACACAGAAAACAGAACAAGCCGGATCTGCAGATAGAGTTACTCGAACGAGGCAAATAACGGGCAAAGGGTCAGAGCTTCACAGATTCAGGGGCCCCGGAGTCACTCGGCCTTAGAAGATCGGAGACCGGTGGCGGCATTGGGAGATCGTGGCTGGGTATGTGATAGTCATCACATTTAACGGCGCCGTTCGACTAGATCCACTTCTTTTGGCCCTAAGATGAGATACTGTACGGGGTATTACCTGTGGTCTAGACGCGTAGAGTGTGTGCTCTCTTATTCCCGTGGAGGATCGGGGATATGATCTCTGTATGCGCCACGAAAAGTAAATGACCGGTTCATCACGCAAATCCTCGTAAGCTCTTGATCGGATTGGAGGCTTCTTCTCCACTTCCGCTTAAGCCGGTTATGTCCGGGGTGATTAGAGTTGATTGGAGCTCAGGAGACTTGCAGAGGCACAGGGCAGCGTATAGTGGTCTCAGATGTAGATGTAGTTGGTATGTTCGATATAAGGATTGCTAGATGTTCAATCTATACCCCCGGATAGGGTCCATCAAGGGTAACAAAAGACGCTCTTAAACGCGAATGCAATTGTCTTGACCTAAACGTTAGCTCCAGTTGGCTGCCGTGTCTGAGGTTGAATGTTTGACCATGACAAATACTTCGGAAATGCCGCGAAACTTTTGCCCGCCATGTCTTGATGTTCTAAGATAATCGTGACGTATACTATATACAGACAGGCAGTCGACTACTAATAATATCAAACTACTGAAAACCCCATGGATATACGGGAAGCGGAGACCCCACGACTGGCCGGGCCAAGTTCCGGAACGCCACATATCATGACTTGCCGGCTTTATGAACTTAGGAAATGGAAGAGCACTATACTAAGTTGATGAGCTGCATATGTGGAGACGCATCTGATCGTAATTGCACCGGAGATTGCAGATCCAATAAGTTTAGCTTCTTTTACAAATCCTTCTCTAGGCGCCGTAAAGGCCGATGTCGCTGTTTATTTTATCCTTCGAGCCTAGCATATCTACTCTCCCATAGGGTAGTGGAGCTTCATTTCCCATTTCCCGTTTCCACCTTCGGATTTCATCCGCGCGCGAGTCTCGACTGTTTTCTCCACTGTAAGATCAGTAATGAACCGCGCCAGTTCAGGGATCAGCCAACGGTCGTTGCACCTGTCAAGCGATTATATTTTTGCCTCATGATTCGACTCCGTCAATCCACAGATCTACTTCTGGAGAGACCGTGGTCAAAGTGGGGGAACTATCGACTGTTGAACTCGGAGCTCGTAACGAAGATCGGAACGGGTCGAAGACCTGTCTTGCTCTCGTTTCCTTTGTCCTTTTTTGCTTCTTTTTTTCTTTTCTTTTTTTCAGTTTTAATCTCATTTTAATCTATTTATTTCTATTTCTATTTCTTTTTCAGATAGGTATATTGACCACTATCAAGATACGCCCCGGCTTAACCCTTAACTGACGGATTTGCCGTCAGACAAGGGGGCTACACATACACATAACATGTACAGCAGCCAACGCCGCGCCAGTTAGTGCGTGATCTACATCGACCGCATCAAATAGCGCCAAGAAAGTGGACTGCGCCGCATGTAGGAGCGGACAAAACAGGGCTAGGGGCGTATTTTTGTCTCGAGGGAAGGACTTTACGATTTTAGCGCGCCTGATTTGATTTACAAACGTCTCGGGCATCTGCATAGCGCTAACGTATCCCTTCTGGAGACAGCCTAATACAGGAAGGTTCTTAATGTCGTCCGTGTTTTAGTCTGGAGCTAGATGGAATGTTTCCCCTGATTATTGTCCCGATGGTACTGTGTTTATATTTATCATTGCCTTTAGTAAAGGGATCGGGGGTAGCTTGGAATGGGCGAGGGTCAGAGCTGTGCTCGGCTACCGCGTTGGAGTAGGTCTTGTATGGCGTTGTTAGGCTGGGCACGACTGCGTTGGGCATTGCAGGTGTAGATACATACCGGTCATGTTGTCGGCTGATTTACATCGGGGCTGGGCATTGTACGTTCTGGGAGAGAGGTGCAGTATATGCTGTTGGCAGGTAGCATTTCCGTTAAGCGGTGTTGGCATAATATGAGTATTCTATGTGTTTGTATAATTCAAAATATAGTAGATGTGGAACTAGAAAAGTAGTGTTGATTTTGGTGTGCTGTCGACTCAACTATACTGTCACAATATATATCTTGACTACATTCCACACACTCCCTATAAAATAAACAATTAAGATTGTAATCAAATAAATTGTCTATTAGAATACACATGCCCTAGCCTATCAAAACACCTGGCACCCAGGGCCAGACCATCTCAAAAAACGCCGTTCAAGTCCCCGTCCATCTTGATGCATTGTGAAAAAGAAGAAAAGAAACCAGATAGAAAAATAAATGTAAAAAACGCCAATCCATCAACAGCTCATAACAGAGCCCAAATACCCCAAAAGAATGCAGAGAAAGAATTCAAATTTAATCCCAAGACGAGGGTCCAGACACCAACGAAGGAGGAAACTTGTTATCAGACACAGGTACATCGAGAAGCCTTCTGCAATAAAAAGAACTTTTGAGAAGACAGAACAGAGCACAATTGCTTGTAGATCCAAGCCAAATGGTTCGTTTCACAGTGTTGGCGAGGTTAGGTTGTTGAGGTGTCGTCCAGTGGATATAATATCCGGATGGACGTTAAGGAAAACAACTCCGCGTGGATACCATTCGCGCCCACATCCGGTTTTTGAAAAGCTAGTATAGACGTCCAAAAACAATTGGAAAGCACAGGCCTCTTTTTTTGTTTTCTTTTTTTTAATTGAATTCATTCCGAGTCGCATTGAGGGATCTTGCAGCATCAAAATCATATCCAGATGGACAGACCCAAAAGGACGAAATTGTGGGATCAATAGCAGGGAACACTATGGTCCTCACAGTTGTACAGGGATTTTATTGATCATGGCCATTGCTTCCACGCTGAGGCGATGGGTCAGGGTACTGAGACACAGCGCCAGAACCCAAGGGAGGAACGCGGTTCAGGGATGGCGACGACATCAGATGCTGGCCATTGGAATAGCCATGGGCGTGGTGTAGCCTCGAGGCATTCTCTCTCTGGCGGCGTTCTTCCTGCTCAGGAGTCATGCATTTCACTGGTGGAGGAATAGGAGCATCCGGGGAGCTGCGGCCCATGAGCTTAGGGCTCGGCTCCAATCGGCGGATGGGCGGCAGCACTGGAGCGCCTGCCATGCTACCAGAAGTCACCGGGCGAGGGGACTGCTTGGTCGGGCTAATTCCTGACATCAGGCCGTGCGAGCTCTGGGGAGGCGAGGAGTGGTTGCCATTGGGCGTGGCGGCAGAGAAAGATGGGTAGTTGTGAGACATCGCCGAGATGTTGGTGGCTCCATGGCCAGACTGGGGGCGCGGAGTCACATGGGTATCATAGGAGCTCCACGGAGATGAGGCGTGACGCGGAGCGACAGAAGGGAAGCCTGCGAGAGGGCCAACATCAGGATTACCCTGCGTAGGCGACATGGACGGCTGGTTCTGAACGGGGCTCTGGTTAGAGTGAGAGGATGAGGGTCGCACGGATTGGAAAGATCCGATGGGAGGAAGGTGAGGGGCCGCATTCATAGGCGGCAGAGGGTGCTGAGCAGAGCTAGGTCGGGGGTTCTGTTCCATAGAATGCAGCAGACCATTCATGCCCTTGGGAGGAGAAAATGGAGGACGGGGAGGGCTTGAAGACGGCAAGGGTGTCTGATTTGTGTGATGGGCAGGGCGTTGAGGCGAGGGTGGAGGGTAGAAGTGGCCATGGCTAAGGGTGGCGGGAAGAGAAGGCTGCGTCCTTGGGGGATTGTTCTGGATGTTGGATAGAGCTGTATGGGATTTCTTCACAGGCGAAAGCGGCATCTGCTCATCTTCATCCTCCAGCTTACGCTTCTTGCCGACAGACGGAGAAGCTGATGGAGACGCGGAAGCGCTGACACGGAATTTCAGAGGTGGAAGCTTGGGCTTGTTGGCATCTTGCTCCTTCTGCTTGCAATCGAGGCAGACAAACTGAAAGTCGTCTTTTTCAGCGGCCTGTTGCGAAATACCGAGGCACTTGCTATGCTGCCACACATTGCATTTCTCGCAGGCAACGCTGTGGCTCCCATCATCCTGTGAAACAGTCAGCCTCAGATACACTACCTAGGTATACTTGTCAAGGAGCTGAACTCACCAAATTCTCCCCGTGCACCCCACAACCAGAGCAATCAAAGATCCACTGGTCATCCTGAGAAAGCTGCGCTAAGTTCCTCTGCGACTTTTCTAGCTCAGCCTTGAGGTTCCGAGCAGAGGCCCTGCTCTCGCCCTTTTCCAGCCTCTCCTGCTCCTCGGCGATGCGCTCAAGCTCTGCCTCGTGCAGAATGCGCTTCTGCTCACGGTCCTTGATGCGCTGCTCGCGAGTCATCATACGAGATTGGCGGTCATCCTCAAGCTGGCTATGCTTGGCCTGTTCCCGGCGAGCCTCGGCCAAATCATGTTCATGTTTCCGAGCGGCCTCCATCGTCTCTCGTTCAAGTCGCTCGTGTTCCTGTTTAGCAGCAAGTCGGCTTGACCGCTTGGCACCCGCGACAAGCTGCAGGCTCAGAAGTTCCTTATCACGCTTGGCGCGCTTGCGCTGCGACGCCTCCTCGGCCTTCTCTAGGATAGGCAAGATGTGCTCCTCAATGCTAGACCGGAGCGCCTTCTCGTCCGCATCTTTGGTTTTCTGGAGCGGTTCCAAGAAAGCCTGGTATTCCTCGAGAGTGACCGCAAGACACTCCCACTTGTAAGGGTCCTCAGCGAAGGCCGCAGCGGGATCTTCACTGTTCGCATCCTTGTTCTCCTCGTCGGATCCTTCTTCCGCAGCTGCCGTGGAAGCACGCTTCGACACCCGAGACGATCGAGAAGATTTACCCTTCGCCTTCTTCTTTGGTCGCTGAAGGGGCGGAGGGGCAGGACGATCTGTGCGACGGTACAAACGGTTGTCATCTAGAACGTAGTATGAACGCCCTTCGCGATCCCAACCAAACTCTTCAATGCGCTAGCAGATGTCAGCAAGCGATAATCAAACCTCAATTCCAGGAGACAATCGACTCACCCATTCCAGCTGATCAGTTTCCCTCTTCTCAGGCATCTTGTCGCGAATACGGTCTGCGTTCCAAAAAGTCCAAGTTGTCAATGTATGAAGAACACGAAGCTTAAGGAAAACATCAAAATCCATAAACTTCTTCGGCTCCTCATCATATCCAAAGGGGTTGGTAGTATTGGGGGCCTTCGCATTGTATTGGCGGCGGGTGTACTCGTCGAAATTCTCATACCTGCCAGCAAGGCCGCAGTCAGTCCCAGTCCCAGTCCAAGTCTCGCAAAAGAAACATGTAACATACGTGAGGCCGCGATGCGACGAGATCCACTTAAGCAGACACAATCCAATTTCCAAAAGTTTATGAGAGGGTTCAGGTTTGAGGCATTCGGTCTCCAGATCCTGGAAATGAGCAAAAAGGGCAGGTTGTCAGCTTGATTCCGACCGGACGAGGGAGATCGCTGTAGTTCGATCTATCAAATGCGACAACAATGCGCTGCATAGATTCTACCGCATGCGATGGGCTGGTGCCGTAGAACATACCTCGATCTCAAACTCCTCGTCTATCTTCATCACCTGGCCAAAGATGGCGATGTACTGCATGAGACTTGCAAATTCCCAGGTATTCCGTATCTGGGTGAGCAGGCCTTGCTCTTCCGGGGCGTCTTGGTCCATGGGGATGGCCTCGGAGCGGGTGCGCTTTCGCGATCCCATCGCGGCGGGACAGCCGTAGGGTCGGGGTTCTTAGGTGGTCGACTGGGAGGTCCACTGGGGTGGAATTTGGCTGGATATGAAAGGCACGGAGTAGTTGACGGTCATAAAATGGGTAGGCGTGCGAAATGCCAAAATGATCACTAAGTAGGGCGGATAGTTATGGGCTTTTTTTTTGGGAGGCGATGCGGATGGGCAAGGCGCGTTGAGAACGGGATCACGTGACGGTCGCGTTGGAAAATTGGTGGCTGTTCATAATGGTTTCTCGTGGATATTGGACTATATTATGCTAATTGATGGTTAATAGGCTAAGCAGACTACTTGAGATAATAGCTGGGTTTTATATCTAATGTTGTTTTATCTTCTATATCGAAGTATTGAAATTCGAACGCAGTTCTAACATCTTACTGCTATCCCTTTAGCCGCAATGGTGACAATTACATCTTAGTAGACGTGGATATAGCTAAATCCTGCTGGCTATTCATCCAATAGCCGATACAGGGGATCAATCATAGCATTGTTCTTAAAAGACCGAGAATACTCATTGAAGATAAATTCATTCATGCTTTTAAAAACACTCGCGTATACACAGACAAGACAGAAAAGAGAAGCAGACGCCTGGATCTTTGGTATCTCTCGCTCAAAGGTCTATCTCACACAGGGCAGTTGAACCTTGTCAAAGACAAGGAGAAAATGCACACAGACGACAGCGCCGACCAGAATTCGCGCCACCGACAGCAACAGTGTCGGAAAAGGGAAAAAAAAAAGGTGAAGAGAGAATGAAAGAAAGAAAAGGTAGCATATTTCCCAAAAGCAAGATGCAAAAATAAAAAGAAGCAAAGATAGAAAGAAAAAAAGAAGACACAAGAATACATTAGAACCACGATCACGCATACATATCACCGAACCCTTAAGTGACCCAATATAAATGCGGTGAAAAGAGAGAAACAACCAGGAATGAAGAGAAAACAGATGGTGGACCCGATGCCTTCAATCGACGACATATCTCACGCATTGGACCCATCCAGTTCTTCACCCACACTTTGCGCCTTGTGACCGTTAATCGCCAGTAGCCTTTCCCATGCATATCATAAGGTGGAATATTTCGGGGAGAAAGAAACAGATGCTTTTCGTATTTTACATGGCTGGCGGAGCTCCCTCCGAGATGTTGTCGGACAGGTTGATGAGAAGCTGAGCCAGGCAGCGCTTGGTGGCTGCGTCGTCGCGGAGGACCGAAGAGAACGTGGCATCCCGAAGAGGCTCGGGGAGACATTGTCGCAAAGCCTCTCGGGCCCGGCTGTTGTCGCTCAAACTATATCTGCATTAGAAAGTGTCGGGAGACAGGAGTAGAAGGACATACCGAAGGAAACAGCGCACGACATGCTTGAGTAGGCGGACGGTCTGTTGCTCGACAAGCTGGGTGACCATGTTGCTGAGAACAGTGCCCACTGCATAGAATCTCTCGTATGTGGCACAGATGTAGCCCAATCCCACATCGTCGAGGAGGATTTTCTGTACAATGAAAATTGCGACAGTCTTACTCAGCTCCGATCCAGTCTCCATGATACGAAGGCAAAGAGGGATAATCTCGGTAGTGAGGAGGAAGTTGATCACATCGGATGAGTCATTCTTCACCAATGCGCCGATAACGCCCAACGATGTTAGTCGGAGATATTCGAAGGGGCGGGACTTGGAGGTGGTGTTGAGGAAGGGGTAGAGGAAGAGAGGGATGTGAGCTGTACGAGAAAACGATTAGCCAAAGCACTCATATTAAACATAGCAGGTATCGCTCACCATTCAGAAAAAGGGTACGGGTCTCATTGTGGGATGCGACACATTGCAAAAGCGCCAGCGCATTGCAGACTCGATTTGAAGCGGCAGCCGTCAGCTGAGAAGGGTTTAAAAGCGGATAGACCGAGATTATTTCCTGAAGGAGCGCAGTCATGACACCTGCAAATTGCCGACCGTTAATTTCCATCGACAAGGGTGGATAGGCATAGGCCTAGGTGAAATTGGAGGCATACCAAAAGAGTGCCAGATGACCAGGGCCAGTTCGGGGACTTGTTCACGCTTCTTGCTCAGTTCCATCAAAGCGGCTTCTCTGCGAGTTGGATCCAACAGTTCGGCGACCCAAATGAAGACCTTGCGATTCTCCTCGCTGATTCCGCCATCCATGACGGAGACCGCATTCGACAGACCCTCTCCGCCCATACTGCCGGCGCCGCCGGCTCCCTGCGCGGGATTACCAGCGCCGTTGCCGTTCATGGCAAGGCGGCCATAGTGTTGTTGCTGCGCCGCGGCGGCAGCAGCCTGCACCTGGGCGTGCTGCTGGGCGACTAAGGAAGCGTGCTGCTGCTGCGACTGGTGTGGGTGCGGCTGGGCCTGATGGTGCTGTTGCTGCTGTTGTTGGTGCTGAAGCCACGAGGGATCAGCCTGGGGATACTGATGCTGGTGGGAGAAAACGTGTTGCTGGCTCTGCGCTTGGAGCATGGTGGTCGGTGATGAGTCGGGGACTCGTAATACTCCGAAGGATCGGACTCAAAAGCGGCAAAGGGCAAAATAGGCTCTAATGGTATAGGACGAAGTAGAGATATAGCGTCAGGAGTTTAATCCCGAAACTAAAATCATTGATGATGCGAGGCTGAAGAGAGAAATAAGGTGGAGAGGGAGGGAAAGGAAGAGAAGTTCGGAAGTGAAGGCGGGGAGAAGTGTCTCCCCTAACGCTTTGTGTGGCCGCTTTTTGGAGATCTCCCCAATCCCTAAGACTGTCTGGCCATTTGCTTTACAGCTCTACAGTACTGCAATAGCGATTTAATTATCTGACATTATCGACTTGGAAGATATCCTCTAGGGGTCTGTACCAATGCAGATTGCCGGTCATATCCTTGCGAACAGAGCACATTGTACCTGCAAGGCCAGTCTTGATCTCTGCAGCTGCTTGCTCTCTGCAGCCATTCCGATTTCCATGTGCAAGCTAGCTACTTCCGACTGATATCTACTGCCGATGTCCGACTCGATCTTCAACATTCGAAAGAGTACCTTACTAATACACCGACCAATGCCCAACTCATCTCATCTCATTCAAAAATTCAATCATATTATCATGTCCAGTTTGTGCTCATAATGTCATATGTACATCGCAACGTGCCCTTGACAGGGTGAAAATCTCATATCGAACTGCCTCATATCGACATTGAAAAAGCAATCATATCATCCAGCCCAAATCAAAACCAAAAAGAAAAAGACAAAAACATCAGGTAAGTCGTGGTGATACATGTCACGTTTTAACATCAGCGCCATAAATGCATAATCAGACCGAAATATCGGCATAGCAAGAGGAAAGGAGGCGAAAGAGACAGGGGTCCCTGTTCATCTCAAGACGGAGATATCCATCATCAACGGCCCGAGCGAGTGCGCGATCGTCGTGATCGTCGCGTATCGCGAGTTCGTCTGTCCGAACTAGCGCTACCTGTGAGGATCGTCAGCAAAGATCTTTCGTTCATCAGAATGGAGGTCGGACGTACTATTCGTGTAATAGTCGGAGTAGTAATAGTACGAGCTGGGATATGAAGACTCCGTCTTATCGTCATCGTGATCTCTATCCTTGCGCCTCTTCAATCCTAGACAGAGAGCAAGGGCACCCAGAACAATGGCGATGGTTCCCCAGCCGAAGGTGGATTTCTTCTCGCTGACTTCACTTCCACCCGCATGAGGTCTGCTTCCGAACCACGTCCGGCCCGCAGGAGGAGGTCGACTGCCGTGCGAATGGTGAGAATGTCGTTCTTCAACATAAGTCGTGTCTCTCTTGCGGCGCTTGCCGAATCCGAGCACAGCAAGCAGGCCATCGATGGCACCCTTAAAGCACAGGCAGGCGCAAAGGAGCAGCAAAAAGATAACACCGGCAATCGTGCCGATGACGATTCCTGCAATTGCACCACCGCTCAATCCTCCGCCACTGCTTGCAGCCTTGACTCCGATCAAGTCTGCCCCGTCCGTTCCGACAGGCGCGGTGAATCCCTCGGTCGTGGTGGGTGCCGATGTCTGCGTGACGGTGCTGGCGCCATTACTCGTCTGTCGCACTCCGGGTGTAGCCTCTGCGCCTGATCCTGTGGCAGTGATTGCAACGGAAGAGCTCTCTGCAACACATTCACCGTTATCACACTCCTGCGCAGCCTCACAACATCTCGTGCCACACTTCGTCTCGCCGAGGTCGACTCTGCAGGTGCCTGTGCTGGTGGCTGCGGCGATTTGACTACTCCATACTGAGGTGATGGTGGATTTGTCGGTTTCGGTGAGCGTGTAGATGGTGGTGAAGTATTGGTAGCTTCCACCGCCGCTGCCGCTGTTTGCACAGACGGCCTGGTTCTCACTGTTGGTTGTGCATGTCTGCCCGGTTTCACAGCAAAGCCAGCCGTCGTAACCACAGGGGTTTGCACAGCGCTTTTCAAGGACGTTTTCCTCCAGTGCAAGCGGGGTTGCGGTAGTAAATAGCGAGTAGGTGAGAAGTAGGGCTAGCGTTGAGAGCGCGGGGAGGTCGGATAAAGAGCGCATTGCGAACAAAGAATGAAGCAGTGCTCGCAGAGAGGCGGTATAGGCCCAGTGAATATGTTCAATCTCGAGGGGTTTGTCGTTTGGCGTTTGTGCTGGAGAGCGGAGATGCTCAGCACTAGCGGTCTTGTCTCACCCGATATACAGTACTTGAGCGGTCTTCTGTAGATCCGCACTTCAAGCCAACGGGGAGATCTTGAAGGTTAAAGATGGAATGCGGACAAAGAATGGAAGAAGAAAAGAGAAGTGTGAGTAACAAAATCACACAGTCACAGAGTAGTTGTGCTCCCCAGCCTCTACCCAACCACCCGATTTCCTGCTAACGCTTCACCCTAAGACCCGACCGTCTTTTTTTACCGGTGGCTGGGGTTTCGGATTTAACGTGTCCAACCCAATTAACTGATTACTCTCATTCGTTCAATACTATTTTTACTCGGGAAAACAAGCCCTGAACGTCTCTCTCCTGCATCATCTCAACGCCGATCGACGGATTAGATGCAAAGATTCCCCCACAGCACAGCAATCAGATCAACACCGCCATTCCACCTTGCGATTCTAGCGTATGTTCGAAACACAATGCCCAATGTTCTAACCCAATGACTCAGTCTCATAATTTGGGCCAATTTAATTCCTCTATGGACAATTCCGTTTGGCCCAATGGCAATCAAGCCCCGACGATCCGATCAAGTACTCTGTACCTGCAGCCGAATTCCCAACGTCCAGGCATGGGCCCATGACTCCATAAGACAAAAAAATGAACATGAAAAAAGAAATATATATAACAAAAAACCTTCATCCATATCCATCATAGCATCATATAAACATCCCCGCAAACCCAACAGCCAGCCCCAATACCAAATCCTGAAGACTAGAACTCCTTACCGGCGCAGCATTACCGCTAGCCTCAGAACCACCAGTCTGCGTAGCAACAGAACTACAATATCCGAGATTAATCCCATGACAAGCCTCAACGCTCAAACTCGAACAAATAGAAGTAGCCTGCGACACAGCCGTAACAGCCTGAACAGTCTTGCCCGCCCCATCAGCACCCCCAATCGTAACCGCATACCGCCCCATCAACGCCGCCGTACACTGCGTATACTCCGACTGACAGAGTGAATAGTACGACGAGCAAGTATGCGGATTGGAAAAGGCAGTCGGCACAGCAACAAACGGGTAGGCGCCGTCAATCGTCGACCCGGTAATCGAAGAAGTAGAAGCGGAGTCCCCGCTCGTCGCGGTCGCGGATGCGGTCTGCGGGAACATGAAGCTGGTCCCTGTGCCGGTCCCCGTTGTCGTTGTTGAGCCGGTTAGACTGCCTGTACAACTTGCGCCGGTTGCGCAGCAGGCGATGTTGTTGGCTGCATCGCGCGAGCAGTTCGTGCCTTGTTTACAGCATGCGTTGGAGTTGCCCAGGTCTGTGCAGGGATTGTAGCCTGAGGGGCAGTTGTTGTGATCTGCTCGCCTTAGAATTCGGAGGACCTCGAAGGCTCGTTTGTTCGCTTCGGCGTTTGTGGCTGGTGTGAAGGGTTCTGTTGGTGTGGTGTGGGCGATTGATGGGAGGAATGCGGCTGTTATCCAGAGCCACTGGGGAGCCCGCATTCTTGTGATGGCGGGGTTGGAATGGTCGGTTTGGAGTTGGTTGATTTAAGTGTCTGGAGGGGTTTTGTTCAATGTTCGTTTCGTCGTTATGAGTGTTAACGTTATCGGGAGGTTGGACTCGGGTGTCAACAGACTACTCAAAGGAGTAAGATTAGCGTTGAGCCACAGTGTGCGAGATTGAAAGATCGATAGGAAAAAAGAGCTGGAACTTACGGTTTGTGCAGAATATGAAATATGATCCTCAAGTTAACTAAAATCAAGAGAGAAATGATGTAGTCTCACGATTCTCCCTCCACCGGGACTGCCCTAGCAACCGCAGCCCGACCCGTGCCCACCTGGGCACAATGGCCTTTCTTTAGCCCAACGCTTCACCGCATACTCCATGTCTCGGAAATCCGAATGGCTGGTTTTAATTAATTCTCTACTCTGCACCCTTTTTTTTATTTTTTATTTTTTTTTTAAATTAGATAAAATGATCCCTCCAACTTTGCAATCCAGAATAGGTTCTCGCCCTGCCAACCTGGTGTCGCTTACCAGCTATGGCTTGCTTGCCCAGCCCATTCAACCCCACAAACCCTAGTAGAAAGAGGCGTTTCTATTTCTGAGAGTATGATTACTGTACTCCGAGTAATTTCTTGTGGGTGGAGATCCTTTACTATAAGCTGTTTTGCTATAAAGAGAGAGAACCTGTAGATATAGATCTAAACATGACTTCAAAAGTATAAGTTACATCGAAGCAACAAACATTACCATTCTTAAACTTTCCGCACACATAATCTAGACATTTTAGATTCAAGTTTCCAGTTACACGAGGAGCATCATTGGACGAACAAACCCCGAATGTCTAAGATCTGAGGGGTCTCACCGGAGATCTACAGTACCTTTAGATACGCTTAATCCGACCCACAACCATCCCAATATCAACCCGCATCAAGAGCCATAGACCATGACATCCCCAAAATCCAAACCCAGCATTCCTGTCGTGGACTTTTCCCACTGGAACACAAACGAGACAAGCCGCCAGCGAGTCGCGCAAGAGATCGTCACCGCTTGCAAGGAGGTGGGGTTTGTGTACATCACCAACCACTCACTGCCAGAGTCGATGTTAGGCGAAGCATTCCACTGGTCAGAGCGATTTTTCAAGCTGGCACAGGATGAAAAACTCAAGGCGCCTCATCCACCAGGTTGGGCTGTACATCGAGGGTACTCGTGGCCTGGACTGGAGAAGGTATCACAGGCCATGAGTACCGGGGTTGATGAAGAGGTGACTGAGCAGTTGAGGGAGATACCAGATATTAAAGTGAGCATGTCTATTTTCGCTGTCTTTGTTCTCTGTGTGCATGATAGTCGATATCTTTCTCCATTTGGTAGCACAACTAACTTGCAACAGGAAAGTTACGATATAGGCAGCGATGAAAACCAATCCCAGCAAAATCAATGGCTACCCGAAGAAAGTCTCACCGGATTTCGAGACTTTATGCTACGCTTCTACTGGGAATGTTTCCGCGTCGGAGGCGAGATCCTGCAAGCACTCGCCATCGGCCTCGATCTGGATGAGAACCACCTATTAGACAAACATTCAGGCCACAACAACCAGCTCCGTCTACTACATTACCCACCCATCCCCGCTGAGAGCATCGAATCAAACCGCGCAGCTCGATGTCCCGCCCATACAGACTGGGGTTCGATCACCATGTTATTCCAAGATGACTGTGGCGGCCTAGAAGTGGAGGATATCACCTCACCGGGGTCATATATACCTGCAACACCTATCAAGAATGCAATTGTGATGAATGTGGGGGATTTGCTGCAGATGTGGAGTAATGGTTTGTTTTCGCTCACATGTGTAAGTTCTCTGTTTGGTGGTGAATGCTGACTCGGGGTATAGATATTCTTCGGTCTACAAACCATCGGGTTACTTTGCCCCCTCTTCAGGATAGGTTTGAGGGGGCTCGGCGTATGACTCGGGGTCGGTTTTCCATTCCGTACTTTATGGCTCCGGATCCTGATTCGGTCATTGAGTGTATCCCGTCTTGTATGAGGGATGGCTTGCCTGCGAAGTATGAGCCTATTACGCAGGCTGGGTATAACCAGATGCGGGCTTCTATGCAGTATTAGTTTTATTATGTTCATCCTGGTATGCAATGAGATTGACGTACTGTTGTGGCTGTAGGTTCGAAATGGGTTGACCTTGACTAGAGGCAGAATTTTGCTCTTTCCACCTCCTCCCAAATTGGCTTTCACTCAAATCTCTCAAATTCAACTTTGCTAAATAAATCACAATCATTGATATTCAGCTTTCTATCCAATCTACAAACTCCATGGATATCGCCAAGCGCCGATCACTGACTAAGAAATGTCTTGGCACCGAAATAGATCAACCAAGTCGCGTCTCTTACCAGGACCCCGACCGCGTAGCTACGATGTACGGCGAACTCGGCAACAAACTGGTAAGCCCAATCCAAGCAGATCAATGCTCTCAATCATCCCGATCTACACTCCTCCCCAAACCATCACCGCCACCGCATCCACCACCAAACCAAAGAAAGCTGACCAACTCCAATAGGTCCAACACGCCAAACGCACCCAATCCCTCGCCCACCTCCCCCCCTACCAAACCGAAATAGTGCGCGCCGTAACCCGCGAAGTCCGCGATCTAGACCGAGATGTCACACGCCTCCTAGCCCCCTTCGAAGGCGCCTTCAACCCCTCCACCGACCCAGCAGTCGCCTGCGCCCTGCTAGTCGACCACCTCTGCATGCGCCGTAACAAGCGCTGCCTGCTCGCCTACCACCGCGTGCGCACGGAGAAACTGGAGGAGTTGTGTTGGCTTGGTGTTGATATTCTTGAGCAGCAGCAGCAACAGCACGCTGAGCAGGGCGGCGCTGGTGTTGGCGGGCAGAATGCTACGTCTACGGCTTTGGGGGGTGGGGGTGGACATAGCTCCCTTAGCCCTGAGGAGGAGGAGTATTTCCGGTTATATGGGGATATGCTTGCTGCGTATAAGGGCCAGTGGACGGATATTGATTTGACGGGGACGTTGGAGCCGCCTAGGGATCTTTTTATTGATGTGCGGGTTTTGAAGGATGCTGGGGAGATTCAGACGGAGTACGGGTATGTTATTTCTATTGGGTTTTCTTGTTCCTTTTTCTGGGGGATGGTTTATGGTTTAGGTTTATGGTGTGCTTTGCTTTGCTAACTCTATTTCTCTGTTATTTTTAGTGTGATCAACTTGACAAAGAATAGTCAACTCTATGTTCGACAGGGAGATGTGGAGAGGTTGATTTCTCAGGGATTCCTGGAGCGATTGAGCTGAATGTTGAATGTACTCCGTATGGGGTTATGAGGATGGCTTATGGCGTTGACTATGGGGAGTGTACATTGAGATACCCCGCCGTTAGCATCTCGAGCTAACGGCCCCAATTGATTTTCTGCATTTACTGTAATAGGTAGGACGAGTTCAGTAGTGTGTATGACGTGACTCGAGGTATATACCTATATGCCCCCAAGGTTGGATGTGATGCGTAAGACGACAGGGTCGGTTATGCAGACTTTGGAATCTACGAAGATCATGGCGCCATTGAGCGTCGGCACTTTTAGCCAGTTAAGCTGCAGGACATCAAGGCTTATGCATATGCAACTGCCGATCCATGCACGTCTAGGTAGCGTGTCCGACAACGGAGAAGCTATTTGCTGCATGCTAATATAACTAGGGCCAGAAGCAGAGTTAATTATAAGTAAGTTAACAAAAGTACCAATAGGCAGTTAGAGAAGTCGCATGGATGTTTAGGTAGAAGTGTTCTATCCGCACGGTCCAGCCAACCCAAGCCGGATATGGTTAGCCCCGCAGATAAGAGCTTTAGTCAAAACTCCGAATCTTTTTTATCTTTGCTAATTGGAGTTGATAACAGAGGGTCTCGTGTTCCTTGTTCCCTTGTTCTCTTTATATCTAGGACATCCCCTAATCATGTCCATGGCGTCATTTAACTAACCGGATTATCCTCCGAAAGGTTCTCCCGGTTGGACAATTGCGCGATGGGCGTGCTGCAACCCCGACGTCGCGACTCCTCCGCATCCGTCCCGTCTGGCAACCTAATGTTCGATCGTGACCAGGGTATGGCACTGTCACCAGAGTCACTGGTGGAACATGCAAACCTAGCCAGCTCGCCTGGCCCAATAGGCGCCGAATCATCCAGTTACAATGGATCGAGGCGAACCCCCAGTCGATCATTCTACCATCGTTCATTTAACAGCAATATGGGTGGGTCACTGTGCAGACTTTGCTTCCTGACCGCGCGACAGACTACTGACAACGTATACTTAGATCCGGCACACTATGCCTCAGATGGTCTCCGGGACCAGACCGCTGAGCTCGCAACCTACGGCCTGTCACTGAACAAAAAGTCTGTCTTGCGGGACAGCCCGGGCCGCCCACCTGGTCTGGATATATTCCACGGCAGTCAGAAATCTAGCAGTTTCTCCCGGGATGAAGCCTCCAGCTCTCACACTGCCATGGGGGAGGCGCTTGATCCCGGTTCTGCTTCTGTAGACCCTGCATCGGCCTCTTCGGCTCTCACAGAGATGATTCGCCGTCCTTCGACTGTGGTCGATGATCAGATCGCGCCATCTGCTACTGAGGATGTGTCGTTCCCTCCCCCACCTACTATCTATGAAGCACCCGAGCGAGATACCGAGCATACGTCGCTATTATCAAAGTCACGGTCTAAATCTACACAGAATTATGGAAGTGCTGGTGATGTCGAGAACCAGGGGGCTGTGGCTCGGTCTCCTAACTTCTTGACAAAGGGGGTTTCATCGGCCGCCAAATACTCGAGGGCTCTGGCTAACCCGAAGACTTGGGATAGGCGTATTCTATGGCAGGAAGCTGTGGTCCGTCCAGCTAGTCTGGTACCTGCAGTCCTGCTCGGTCTTCTATTGAATATTCTTGATGCCTTATCTTATGGAATGATCTTGTTCCCTCTTGGAGAACCGCTGTTCTCCCACCTGGGAAACGATGGTATCTCGATGTTCTACGTCAGTACAATCATTTCCCAAGTCGTCTTCTCCTGTGGGGGGTCAATCTTCAAAGGAGGAATTGGAAGCGAGATGATTGAAGTAGTGCCTTTCTTCCACCAGATGGCTTTCACCATCATGAACTCGATTGGCAAAGACAATCCCAAATCTGTCATTGCCACAACCATCCTAGCCTTCTCAGTCAGTTCAATCTTGACCGGCTTGGTGTTCTTCTTGATGGGTGTGTGCGGGCTGGGTTCGCTCATCGGTTTCTTCCCCCGCCACATTCTGATCGGCTGTATCGGTGGCGTTGGCTACTTTCTTCTGGTAACTGGAGTCGAGGTCTCGGCCCGGCTTCCTGGGTCTCTGGAGTATAATCTCGAGACACTTCAGAGACTGTTCCATCTTGATACTTTCCCTCTTTGGATCATTCCCCTGTCTCTTGCAATTGGCCTCCTTGTCTTGAAACGGTTCGTTCGCTCGAACTTTTTGGTTGGGGGCTACTTCATTGCAGTTGCGGCTGTGTTTTACATTGTCATTTTGAGTGCTAGGATCTCTATGAGTTCCTTGCATCAGAACGGATGGGTCTTTGATGCCCCGTCTTCCAACAACCCTTGGTATCATTTCTACACGCTTTATGGTGCGTCAAATTTGGTCTCCCCTTCGAGAACGCCATGCTGATTATTTTAGATCTCTCTGCGGTCAGTTGGACTGCTTTTGGCGAGACAATCCCGGCCATGTTTGCGCTGACCTTCTTTGGTGTGCTTCATGTGCCCATAAACGTCCCCGCTTTGGGAATCTCCACCGGTGAGGACAACGTCAACGTTGATAGAGAACTTGTGGCACACGGTGTGACAAATGCTCTTTCCGGCTTCGCAGGAAGTATTCAGAACTACCTTGTTTACACCAACAGTCTTCTCTTCATTGCCAGCGGTGGAGAATCTCGCTTGGCGGGGTTGATGTTGGCTGGAGCCACGGCAGGTATTATGGTCATTGGCCCTGTTATCATTGGATACATTCCTGTGATGGTTGTGGGTGCCTTGATCTTCTTGCTGGGCATTGAGCTATTGCAGGAAGCCTTAGTGGACACCTGGGGAAAGCTCAGCCGGCTTGAATATCTGACTGTTGTCATTATTGTTGTCACTATGGGTGCTTGGGACTTCGTAGCTGGAATCTTCGTGGGAATCATCTTGGCATGTGTGAACTTTGTCGTCCAGACTTCTCGCAAATCTGCCATCCGAGCCACCTTCTCCGGTGAGACCGCAGGGTCGACAGTCCGACGGCCTCCCATTCAGCAGCAATTCTTGCACGAAGCCGGACAGCAGACACTGATCATCAAGCTTGGTGGCTACCTCTTCTTTGGAACCATCGTCAATGTCGAGAGTACTATGCGCGGCCTCATCGAGGAAGAAGCATTTGATCGACGTCCCATTCGCTTCCTTATCCTCGACTTCTCCCGAGTCTATGGTCTCGACTTCTCAGCCGCAGAAGCGTTCACTCGTATCAACCGCATTCTCAAAAAGCGCAACGTGCAAACAACCATCTCAGGCCTGAACGTCGAAGGCGACGTAGGCAAGAGTCTGCAAAACGTCGGACTCTTCGAACCCGAATCCGGCGTGCCAATCTTCGAAGACCTAAACTCAGCCCTCGAATTCTGCGAAAATGACTACCTCAAAGTCTTCTACAGCCGCCAAGAAGCCCTCCTAACCCCCACCGAAGCCTCAACACCGGCAACCATCGTCCATGTCCCCGTCCCAGTCCCCCAATCCCAACCGCTATCCGACACAATCGTCAGCTCCCCACGCGGCCGATACCTCCAACGCGTAGCAACTACCACAATCCGCGAGCATGAAACAGCAATTATGGACTCCCCAGCCTGGTCAGCAATGCGCCAACCCCTCCCCCTCCTCCTCCAAACCTTCCAAGGCCTCTCAACCCAAAATGAAGACTTCTGGTTCCCAGCCTGCGCCTACTTCACCCGCGAATCCTACCCAGCGGGTGAAGTCCTCTACTACGAAGGCGACGCCCCGCGCGCCTTCTACCTCCTCGAATCGGGCATGTTACGCGCGGGCTATGATCTCCCCCAGGGCCGCTACTTTGAGCTCATTGTCGCGGGTCGACCGTGTGGCGAGTTGCCTTTCTTTAGTGATACCCGTCGCACGGCGACTGTTAAGGCTGAGCGGGATTGTGTGGCTTGGTGCTTGACAGGTGGGCAGTGGAAGATCTTGCAGGAGAAAGAACCGCGTATTGCGAGGGAGCTGTTGACTGTTAGTTTGAAGTTGACTACTGAGCGGATGGATTCTATTACCTCGTAAGTTTATCCTTGTCACTCACCTTTATTACCCTGATCTCAATTGCTAACTCGGTGTGTTTAACAGTTATGTCCTTACTATGGCAGCTTGATCTCCAACTCCAACTCTAACTCCTCGCTGTTCATTTGCTTTTTCCATTTGCTGCTCCATTTTTTGCATCAATCTGGCTTGGTGGATGCGAGTCAGTTCTGTAGTGTTTATATCCCCCGGATTTCTTTTTGTTTATGGATTTCCTGTCTTAACCTATTGTTTACATAGCTATTCTTTTGGTACATAGCATCTTATGTGTACATTATGTACAGAATGCATATATGCAGTATTCAGGCTGGTCTTGATGACTTTGTATCATTCTTCTCAGAGATCTAGCTATGCAAGAAACGATCCAAGTTACTACCGTACAGGTGTCTGGGTATTATTATTCACTTACGTTGCATATGCATTCTTCTCTCCACGACGTCCTCCCACGGTAGAAGGGCGCGGAGGAGATGCGGGAAGAGTAATATTCGTACAGTTTCTATCTCTTGTTACAGTATTTTCCATTGCCTCGAGATGTCCAGCCCACATAACGGATGCCGTTCTTCTAGTTTATTAATGCATGCTGTCTAGGACAAAGCTTTTCCTAGCCTATTTGCTCGAAAGCATTAAGCCTTGATCAGAAGGCTACGCAGGATCATATACGTCAAAATGTGTTCACTTGTTAGGAGGTGATAATTGTAGAATCAAGCGATATATCGAATTCGGAGTGTTGTCGAACTCGTGTTCTCGACAGGAACCCGACCATCAACACTATAACCAGCATGTAAATATAACTTATATATTAAAAAAATGTGTGATAACCAGAGCATATATACTGGACTAAACTTGAACATGCTGACTATTATAAATAGTATAAAAAATAAAAAATGAACGCTACCCACGGGGGTCGAACCCGCAACCTTCCGGTTAACTGTTACGATGTTAGTGAGGGGAACTTCAGCACATGGTACTTCGGGGTTACTGACAAGCCGGACGCACTACCATTGTGCTAAGGAAGCTGATATTAAGTAATCACGCTTGAATGAGAATATAACCCCCTGGAAGCAATAGAGCAATCGTTCGTTTTGTTACTCTGACATAAGTTGTGTACTAAGTATAGTTATTTAAGATGATAGAAACCTGGAGGGAGTTCTGTGTTACAGCTCGACAAACGGCCAGAAATGTCCTAGGATACCTGATTCGATTGTCTCTGCGCTAGCCGACAGCCAATGTATCTTGTCAATGCTCTAACTTCAGTACTACATATACACCCTGCGACGCGTCTATTATCTCGGGGAAATTATAAATGCTCTACCGTACGGAAGTTAAGAGATATTGAAAACCGAGCATACTTTCAATATAGTTTGCCTAACTATGAGAAGAATAGTTGCCATAATCTTTGTCATATTGGTTTCCCCAGATAATGATTGAACGCGTATTATCGCCTACGTATAGGTATGAAGGACTTTTCCCAGGGTATTTTGCGGTGCTTAATTAAAAGCGATAGCCTATCGCGAGAACAATACGTGTAAGGGGCACTATCGTAGTTCTCTTCTGAGGTGCTTTATAAAGCTGAAGGATCAGAATAACGCCCTTTAACTTGTCTAGAGAGTTTGTGTACAATAGGACTGACTTAACCTGTGCTATGTTGATAGACATAAACAAGTCGAGAAACTTCGTCCTCAGCAAGGTGTTGTATATCTGCGGAATTAAAAAGGTAGGGTCCGGCACCTTAGTTTATTTAAAATCTAACTTCAATAGGGTCTTGTTCGTCTCTAATAGAGTTCTCTAGGGTTTCTCTTCAACTCATTTGTTACGCAGCCTTGCTTGAGCTATATTGATTGGTTGTACCCTGTAGAGCGAAGCGATACGTGTACATGAAATCCAGCTGGTTGTCACTCTTACTCTCCTCGACAGAAATTATCACCCCCTCCTGGTCTATCGCTAATATCTAGGTATAAAAAAAAGATAAAAATATACAAAACTGACTAAACCAAATATGCTGACGAGTTCCAGTGCATATTGGAAAATACAAAAAGATAAGCGCTACCCACGGGGGTCGAACCCGCAACCTTCCGGTTAACTGTTCTGATGTTAGTAAGGGATTCTTTAATGGTCATGATATTAGGGTTACTGACAAGCCGGACGCACTACCATTGTGCTAAGGAAGCTGAATTGAAGGAAACATTGTAATATTGGCTTTATCACTTAACTAACCATGTCACCTTTTTTGGTTTAACATCTCTCATATTGGAAGGAATAAAGCAATATCTGGGAGCAATTTCTCTTAATAAACCGCAGGATGAGTTCATAATAATTTTAAGAATGGCGGTCTTAGTATTTCGAGCATAGTATCAGTAATTTGCAGGTCCAAGAAGTTGGTTGTTGATGGTGATGTTCCCCACAGTAAATTCGGGTGTACACAGTAACATGGCTACAGTGGTTTCTCTTGAGAGACACTTATGATAGAGAATCACAAGGAAACAACATCACATATCTCAATGAATACGAATATCAGTTCTTCACCCTCTGCTCTTAACTGGGACCCCCGCATATGCTCACGTGACCGGGCGTTTTACCACGCGTGTGCGGCGCGTCCCAATCGCTGATTGCCTCGATCTTTTGAACACAACTGCCTGGCCACGCATTATCACTTACACCCCACAACAACGCGCGCTCTGGCCATGGCACCTGAAGACCAACAGCCTCGGCTCTTCGACCAGTGTTGCCTCTGCATTGTATGCTCTAAAGATCTCTCCCGAGAATCCGCGGAGCAGGTATGTGTTGGCCTATCACTCGCGCATGATGCACTCAACTAACATGACTGACTCGTTAGCTCGCGACAACACTCGAAGAGCATGGCGGTGAGCCTTTGATTGTCCAGCCCGGGGCTGAGGTCCCTAATGTGGCTAGGTTCAGCCATTTGATCTCCAACACGATTGATTTTGAGGCCTATGATACTACCTGTGATGCGCTGATCCCCGTGGTGAAGCCACAATGGGTCAGCAACTCACTGGCAAAGAGGAAGCTAGCCAATCCTCGTCAATACAGCCCCGATCCTCGTCTCTTTATGAACGACGTGGTGGTTACCTGCGGCGACATACCGGAGGGGGATAAGGATGCGATAATCGGCGGTGTGGTGGCGAAGGGTGGACTGTACAGTCCGCGAATCTCCCATATGGTCACTCACTTGGTGGATCTCACGGCCGATTCGGACAAGGCGCGCATTGCCCAGGCCAAGAAATTGAACGTGAAGATTGTTCTACCGCATTGGTGAGTCTGTTGCTGTTGCTGTGCCTTCCAACGAACCCTACTAATTTGAACCTCGATAGGTTCGATGACTGCCTGAAACTTGGTCGGCGCATCGACGAGCGTCCCTACACCCTTCCAGACCCGGAGATCATGCACGTAGGTCTTGATACCCCGATTCCACCGCAAGACAATAAAGACTTGGTTGGCGCATCGACGACTAATCCAACGAAGCTGCCAACGCCATCCATCTCGGCACATACAAACGGTCAGCGGAGTGTTTTCGAGGGCAAAACCATTATGCTATCTCCGGATCTTGGAATTGGTTCGCATCTACAAGAGTCTATTGAAGCCGTTCTGAAGCAGGGCGGAGCTGAAGTGACATCAAGGATTGATACTGCAGACATGTTGATCTGTCGTTACCGAGAAGGCTTTGCCTACCGAACGGCATCGCGGCTTAACTTAGACGTTGGAAATCTCGCCTGGCTCTACCGGCTCATGACATTTAACACATACACGTCACCTCTCAGACGACTCCTGCACTACCCCGTATCTCGTACGGGTATTCCCGGATTCCAAGGACTGAAGATCAGTCTGTCCAATTATGTTGGTGAAGCAAGAATCTATCTGGAAAACTTGATTGCAGCCGCAGGTGCGGAATGTACAAAAACTTTGAAGCAGGAGAACACCCATTTGATTACTGCCCATGGAACGAGCGAGAAGTGCAACGCCGCAAAGGAGTGGGGCCTTGAAGTCGTCAATCACTTGTGGTTGGAAGACAGCTATGCCAAATGGAAGCTGCAACCCGCTTCAGAGCCGCGCTATAGCCACTTCCCTCTGCGAACCAATCTTGGGGAAGTTGCAGGCCAGACACGGCTTGACCGCAATGTTCTTGAGCGAATTTTTTTCCCATCCGAGGACACCGCCCAAAGTCCACGGCGCGCAATGCATAGCAAGGACCAGAACATGGTTTCAGTGCAAGCTCCCCCTGAGAAAAAGCGGAAGATTATCGACGAAGCCTCAGATGCTTCACATGGCACCCCGCAGACTACTGGCAAATCACGTCGGCCCATACAGACTCCTGCACGGTCTCGCATCATGTCCGAGGGCAAGGAGAACGAAACCCCATCTTCAACTAGCAGTCGCAAGTCGAAGGACGCAGCAACTGCCCGACTACACGAGATCGCTCCAGATATCGCGCTTTACGAAAAAGAAAAGAAGCGCGTGGGTGGTGTGATCTATGGCGGAAGACGCAAGTCAGATGAAGGCCGGGGCCAGGAGAAGGAGAAGGAAAGCAAGAAGCGAGCATCCGTCGAGGCTGAAGATGAGAGTGATGGTGACCAAGCAGTGGAGCCCAAACGACAGAAGAAGTCTCGGCCACCAATTTCCATGCACCTGTTGATTACCGGCTACCAGAAGTGGATTGGGAAGGGCAATGAGAAGAAAGAGGATGCAGACAAGGTTTGTTGGTTGTTGCATATACAAAATTGGCATTAGATCCACTAACACTTCGACAGCGAACGCTTCGAGAACTAGGTATTATGGTCGTACAAGACGCCCGACGATGCACCCATCTGGCAGCGCCGTCGATTTTGCGAACCACAAAATTTGTCAACGCACTCGCGTATGCACCGATAATTGTGAGCACAGACTTTATTACGAGTTGCCTCAAGAAGGACGAGCTACTTGACGCCTCTGATTTCCCTCTGGTGGACACAGAAGCCGAAAAGAAGTACAACTTCTCCCTTTCCTCCGTCACATCGAACGCCAAAAAGAACAAGAACAAAATGCTGCACGGGTATCGCATTTACTGTGTGGAGGACATCCGCGGTGGATTCGATGCGTTCAAGTCTATTGTTGAAGCGAATGGAGGTGAATGCATGCTCTTCCGTGGCCGTCTCGCCCTAGCGAATCATTCTCGGCGGGAGGAAAGCCACGATGACAGCGAAGCAGAGGACGAGCCCGCTCGCCACGAGGTCTTTCTCCTCAGCAGTGCCGGGGCTAAACACGGCCGAATCTGGCCTCGATTCCGTCAGGTGGCATTCGATATCAAAAAGACACCACGGATCGTCCGAGTTGACTGGCTGCTTGACATGGCCATGTCGCAAGAGACACGCCCCGCCGACGAATACGAGTTGACCGAGGAGATGATCGATAACACGGATGAGTAAACTGACACCTTGGTATCATGTTCACATCCGCTATCCATCTAGGGCATTGGCCCAGAATATTGGTTCTGTGTATAAGTTTGGAGTGTCGAAGGCGTAGTTTGATAAGCCTTTTGAGCCAGCCCTTGGAACGGGCTTTGTTTTTGTCACGAATAGCCACGATTTATCAAATAGAGAAATCCCAGCATACCCATTTTGAGTCATTCAAAAGAACTTGACACCCTCCTGACCCTCACCACCAAAGATCTGCGCCTTGCCCCGCTTAACAAGAACACTCAGCGAGCGCAGCATGACATCGGTATCCATGCCATGGAACTCTACAGAGACTGAATTAGCACAAGCACTTAATCATTCTCAAGCAAGAATGTAATCATACCCTGCGACATCGTCCCCTCACCCTGAATCAACTCATAAACCGTCAAAACCGACCCTCGCTGCCCAGTCCCCTCAACCCACTCAACCAACAAATCAGCCCACTCCTCAGGCCTCTTCCACCAGATCCACGCTACAGTCCGGGGTCCCTGGCCCTGAGCACTCCCCATAACCCCGGAAGAAGAACCACCGCCCGCATCAGGAATCCACTCCGCGCGCCTGCCACCACCGCCTTCTTCCTCGCTCTTAGTCATCCAGTCCACGACAGCGCGGGCTTCGCGGATATCGAGACGCTTGCGCAGAGTTGCGTTATGGAAGAGTGGGGATTCGACTGCTTCTATTAGGGAGAGGCGGTATTGGCGGTGGTGTCGGCACCAGGACTGGATTAGATCGGACCATTTCCTCAGCTGGTCCTGGCGGGTTGTTGTGTTTGGTTGCGGGGTGAAGAAGGGGGGCCAGTTGTGTTCTCGGGGGAAGGGGAAGGGGAGGGTCATTGCGAAGGGAGTAAGTATGGAGAGAGAGAGAGAGAGAGAGAGAGAGAGAGAGAGAATAAAGAATGAAGAACAAGTTGCAGAGGACAATAAGCAGTAAAGGTAGAGAGGTCTTGGAGAAAGGTGGAGCCAATCGGAGCGGGGAATGATTTTCTCAATTTTGCTTCTTCATCTTCGACTTCACTCACTCTTCACTCGACATTCGCAATGGCCGAACAAGTCCCAACAAAGCGCCAAAAGCGCGAGGAATACCGTCGCGGTATCCAAGCCCAGCAAGATTCCACCGAAGATGGCTCCGTCGTCAAGATGCCACAGAAGAAATTCTTCCGCCAGCGCGCGCATGCGAATCCCTTCTCGGACCACAACCTGGACTAGTATGTCTCCTCTTTCGCATGCCAATTTGCAGCTGAAACATAGCCATGGGATCCGGGAGCTTTATTCGCGAACATATACCCCGGCATGCGATCATGACGTGAGCTGAGAGCTAACCAATTTAACCTCAATAGCCCTATCAGCCCCGCGCATATGGATTGGTCTTCCCACTACCCTGCATATGTGGACCCGGATACCTCCAAGACGAATCTGAGCGGTGCTCGCCAATTGACTAAGAATGTCGAGGTGGTGGATATCGGCTGTGGGTTCGGTGGATTGCTGGTTGGACTGGCGCCTTTGCTGCCAGATACCCTGATGGTTGGTGAGTATTACAAGGCAATCAAATAAATTGCCTCTCCCAATTACACAGCTTCCATCCCAAAGAAGCACCCAAAATCAAAGCCCCCAAGATCAAAGCTAATAAACCCACAGGCATGGAAATCCGCACCCAAGTGCTCGAGTACCTCACATCTCGCATCCACGCCCTACGCGCCCAGCAACAAAACCTAAAGAACAAATCCGCCAACCCAGCCCCAACAGAAGCATCCACCGAATCAACCACAGAAGCCGAAACAGGCTCCGACAGCAAAGCCCCCGCCACAGACGACGACATAGGCACAACGAAGATCTTCCCCGGAAACTTCGAAAACATCGCCGCAATCCGTAGCAACACGATGAAATTCCTGCCCAACTTCTTTGGCCGCCATCAACTCTCCAAGATCTTCATCTGTTTCCCAGACCCGCACTTCAAAGCGCGTAAGCATAAAGCGCGCATTATTTCTGAGTCCCTGAATGCCGAGTACGCTTATGCCCTCCGGCCTGGTGGTTTGTTGTACACTATTACCGACGTGGAGGAGTATCACCATTGGGTTCTGAGGCATTTCCTGCGACAGCCTGAGGATGCGACGAAAGGCAAGGGTGAGGGTGAGACGGGTTCGGATTATAAGGCTGAGGCGGTTCATGCGCCGGGCATTAAGGATATGTGGGAGCGGGTCTCGGATGCGGATCTTGCGGCTGATCCTTGCGTGCGTGTTATGCAGTTTGAGACTGAGGAGTCGAAGAAGGTTACGAGGAATAACGGCAAGAAGTTTGTTGCTGTTTTCAGGCGCTTGGCTGATCCTGAGTGGCCTTCTTCTTGAGGAAGTGGGGGATGGAGAGTGGGAAGTATGTGTGAGAGTCCCTGTATTTAGAATCATTGATGTCAATTCAATGATGGCCGGAAAAAAGCGGTGTTTGGGGCGTTTTATTTAATCCAACTTTCAAGATGCATTGCAAATATATCAATCATACTCCAACTTCGTGCTAACAGTCTTCGCTTGCTAAAATGAAACAAATCTCCCAAAGTTAAAAAAAGGTCGAGGAGAATACACGCCGAGAAATTAAGTGAATGCAACAAGGAAACACCAAAATCAAGCGTGAACCTATCATAAAACAGTCGTCTCGTTAAAACATGGTGGTCCTAGCCAGCAGTAGATGACGCGGAGATCTTAACGCATTCTAGGCGCCTTCAAACGAATAGCTTCGCATCTCTCACAGATAGCCAATTGCACAGGGCCACCAATGATACGGCCCTTAGCCGTGCGCTTTGGTTCGCCTTCACGGACGAAGAAGCGGCCCTCGGGTCCAAACCCGTCGCCACATTCGTGGCAGTTGAAGCAGCGCTCGTGCCATTGTCCGCCAATTGCGGTGATGACAACCTCGTCCATGACATGCTGCTTGCAGCCCAGGCAGCGGGGTGCGGTTCGGCGCGAGTGGCATTGGAGACACCAAGCGAAGCCGTCCTTTTCAACAAAGGGGGTCTGGGAGTTGAAGGGCTGTTGAGAAATGTTAGTCATAGTTATCCAAAGATCGGGGAAAGAAAGGATCTGGAAACATACATCGCCGCACTCGGCGCAGAAGAAGTGGCCAACATGCCATTCAGCACCGCATGCCACAACAACTTCTCCTTCAATAGGTGTCTTGCAGCTTTTGCATCGTGGGCTGAACAGCTCGTGAAAATCGAGGTGGCAGTAGAACCGTGGCACGCGGGCCTCATGGTCGTTGGCTTCTGTTGCCAGTCTTTCATCTCTGCTGGACTCGGGTTCTTGGTAAAAGGCCACACATTCGAGGGCAGTGTGGCAGTGGAAGCAAGTAAAGCACTCTGGGTGGAATCGGCATCCACCAGCAGTCACAATCTTGCCGGAAATCGGGTGGGAGCACAGTTCACAGCTTGCAGTCGGGACACCCGACCGTGTGTACGGCGAATGCCAACGGTTTTGCAGTTCAGTTCCCGGCTGTCTGGGGAATCCCTGCTTGGTCGGGCTGGTTCTGGTCGGCTGAGGCATGGGCCTTGTCGGCTTGTTTTGCTGTTGGTTGGGTGCTTCTATTTCAGAGATGGTTGGTACTTTGATGTCCGGGACGTTGATGACGGGGATAGGAGGCGCCTCGGTAACTTCGATCGAAGGCGCCGAGACCTCAATGGCCGGTGCCGACACTTCAATAACGGGTGCGCGCTCAGGCTTTGGTTGGTCGCTTGGCTTCCAGGTTTGGTCAAAGCTGACGATCGGGCGTCCAACTCGATCACTGACAGCTGAAGGCATAGGCAGCTTCTCACTGCGGTCACCTCGTCTCTTGCTAGTGGCCGCGCGGATATCGTCACTCCGTATCTCTCTTCCATCTTTGGTCGGAACGGGTTGAGGTTCTTCGGGGGGCGGAGTGGCTTCGTCATTTCGTGTGTAGCCAGCATTGCGTGACTGACTGGGAGGGTTCTTGTGGATTTCGAAACGTGATATCTTATCCAACACAGGTGTGCTGCTGTTGCCTCTGTTCTGCAACCAGGGAAGAGGTTTGGGGTTGCGTCCAAGGGCATTCCGAGGTTTATTTCTCAGGGCTGACGAGTCGGATCTGGAAAACTCGGGCTTCTCTTCCTCCTTTTGAGTACCGACGGGCTCTTCATATATTTGGTCGTTGGGATTTCTAAAGATACCCTTAGACGAATCACCGCTGACAGTCCGTCCTCTCGGGGCTGCAATTTCCTCAGGGACTGGGGGCTCCTCGCCAGGCAATTTAAAGTTAACCTTGAGATTTTTCTTCGTGGGCCCGGCCAGTGAGGATCGCTTTCGGAGTGACTCGGGGCTGCGTTGACCATCTGAAGAACCACTCGAGCCTGTCGACTGGCTGAATCTATGGGTTGAGTCGTGGCCTCGTGAACCGTTCCGGACGGGACTCTGGCTACGCCTGTTGGCATCGGGGTTATGATACGGCGCGTAGGGGTTCTTGAAAGCGACACCGGGGTTTTGATGCATCCATACCAGCTCAGTTGCCTCATCTTGGGCGGCTTGGTGGACATGAACGTCGTCGTGTATATCCATTTCCTGCAAAGCATTCCGTAGTGACCGTGCCTCTTCCTTCTCGTGCCGCCGTTGGCCATTCTCACGATATGAAGGCGCTGGAGATGCTGGGACCGTATGAGTGTGAATCTGTGCCGGGAACACGTTCTTTCGAATCGAGTGCGTGCGGGGCTCCTGGGCTAACGGACGGCCCATTGCGCCGCTACCTGGAACATGGGAGGCTGCTCGGCGATGGGACATTGCACTTTCGGAACGCGGTTGGTCCTTGATGTCGTCTTCAATTGGTGAACGCATTGAAAGGGCCGAGGTTGCTCTCGCAGGAAGGCTACCTGGTATATCCGTCGTCGATGCCGCTGATTTGCCTGGGTATGGGCGAGATCCCGTCGGACGCGCTGGACGGTTTGCCCTCAGGTCCTTCAAGTATGTTGCTGTTGAGACGCGTATCAGCTCCGACCGGTGACGCGACCGGATGCCCACTCACCAACTTGATCATTGGACATGAAGGATGGACCGGGAGGGGAGACCTTCCGTTGAGTAGTATGTCTGTGCATGGTCTAATTGATTGCAAGGATGTGTTGAGGTAGCATTGGAATACAAAATAAGCTACAGGATCGAGGACAAATGGGACTAAGATGAGAACAGCCTAGTCGATCTATGATTGACGGTCTGAGTTGGCGTCATATGAGTTGTTCATCTACCCCCCACTCCCCAAACAAACATCGTCGCGAGGCAACGCGATGACTCATCCACTTTGGGCTAGGGCTTAGGGCTTGACCACGTGGTGATAGCTCTGGCAGTGTACGACATCAGTATAGATCAAGGATTAGATCTCTCATCTAAATAACCTCTACAATGCATATACAGTAACTCTGGACTCATCCCCCACTAAACAACCATCGCTCCAATCCTAAGACCCTCTCGGCTCTCCGCATCGGCTTCTCGGCACAGTCTACCCCACAGCCAAGTAACGCTGGGATCACCTTCAAAGGATATTCCCTGCAACCTGCCCTTCGGAAGCAAAGTAGTCACCGCTGCCATATCTCAACGGTCTAGGTCCTTTTGATTGGTCCAATTTCGCCGAATCCCTGCAGGTGACAAACCACGAGGGACCCCGGACATCTTTCCTCGATCCGAAAAGGCAAAGCGTCCTCAAATTCGGCATATAGTCCGATGCCGCTAATTATTCTTACCACTGAATCCATTCTCATTTTCTTCGTTGTTAAATTTTTGGCATATTTTCCGTTTCCTCAACACCCTCGATGTCTTGACGAAAGCGGACATCTGGTTTCCGGCCCATGTTCAGAACTCGACCACCGTAGAGGAGATCCATAGGCCATATTTGGATCCCATCCGTTATGGCAGATAATGCGCCAATTGATATCATCCGCTCACACCAAGACGATTTGGATCGAGAGAGTGCAAAACAAGAACAAAGGCTGAATCCTCGGTCGGAACGGCCAGCCGAGGTCAACGAAGATGAGAAATACAAGCGTGATGTACCCCCAGATGGTGGCTATGGCTGGGTCTGTGTCGCCTGTGTCTTCTGGATCAATGCACATACTTGGGGTATCAACAGCGTAAGTCAACTGACGTATTCTTCGCTCTCCAGTCGCTAACTCCAACATCTAGAGTTACGGTGTCTTCCTCAGCTACTACCTCTCACACAACGTATTCCCAAACACATCAGCCCTATCATACGCCTTCACAGGCGGCCTGAGTATCTCTTGCGCTCTTCTAGTGGCACCACTAGCCACTCATCTCATCCATATATGGGGTACACGATTCGTGCTAAACCTAGGCGTCTTCTTTGAAACGCTCTCTCTAATCGGCTCCTCATTCGCAACCCAGAAATGGCACATTTTCCTCAGTCAGGGTGTCTGTTTTGGCTGGGGTATGGGGTTTCTCTTTGTAGGCAGCGTCGGCATCGCCCCGCAGTGGTTCGAGAAGCGTCGCAGTGTAGCCATGGGCATCACGGCAGCCGGGTCTGGACTTGGTGGTCTGATATACTCGCTTTCAGTTGGTGCTATTATCCCGCGCTACGGGCTGGGCTGGGCTTTCCGTATTCTGGGCATTATTTCTTGTGTCGTGAATCTGGTTTGCTGCAATCTTCTCCGAGACCGCAATAAGGCTGTTGGCAGTCGGTTCACGGCTTTCCATTTACCTCTTCTGAGCCGTCCTGAGTTCTTGCTTTTCTTGGGATGGGGTGTTTTCAGTATGCTGGGGTATGTGGCACTGTTGTTCAGTGTTGCTAACTTTGCTCTCTCTGTTGGTCTGTCCTCGCATCAGGGGAGTATTGTCTCCGCTTTGCTCAATCTTGGGCAGGGTCTTGGTCGTCCGTTTGTTGGCATGTTCAGTGATCGACTTGGTCGAATCAACATTGCCACTTTCTTGACTTTCCTCTGCGGATTGTTTTGTCTCGTCATCTGGATCTTTGCTGATAATATGGGCGTGGTTTGTTTCTTCGCTGTCTTGGTTGGCACCGTTGCAGGCACATACTGGGCCACGGTCTCCCCTGTTCTTGCAGAGATCATCGGCATCAGAGATCTCCCCTCTGGGCTGAGCATTACCTGGCTCACGCTTGTTCCGCCATGCACCGTCTCCGAAGCTATTGCCCTCGAACTGCGCAGCCATGTTACTGGCGGCGGTACTTCCTATCTGCGGGTTCAGATCTTCACCGGATTTATGTATGTCGGTGCCTCCTTGTGCTTGTGGGTTGTCCGTGGTTGGAAGGTTGGCGAGTTGGAGCGTGCAGAAAAACGTGATACCCAGACACGCGAGACTCCGTTAACTGAGAATAATGGTCGGAGTGAGAAGCAAGACCGCCCTGCAACTGTCTCCTCGGCCTCTACAACAGGGGTGCAAGATATCCAGCTGTGGACTCCAGTAAGCTTGGTGCGCCGGATGGTTGCCTTCAAGCGCGTTTAAAATCATATAACCAAAGCGCAGAAACATCTATGGATGACATATATAAAGTGGAGGCCTACCTTACTTTCCAACACCCCGTCGGAACAACCTACTGGTAAAACGCGACAGTTACTATATAGGACGTACCTATACAGGCGACTCCGGCTTCGAACCTGGCAATTGTCACCGTTAGAACTCGGTGGGGTATCTTCTTGGTTGTCGTCCCCATCTAGTTGATCGATCGGGATGGCTACTGTGTCACTCTGCCTACCTAGGTCATCGCCTGCCTAGTTCATCGAGATGACGATGCTCTTAGGATCCGGGTGGCCTCTCTACCATATGTGTCTACCTCTACTGTATTGATATTCTCTCTGCGATAGCCTGATACCAAGATCCATGACAACGCGCATGATATCAAAACATACCGATACACGAATCTATTGAGAAAAAAAAATGCAAAAGTAAACAATTATCCGTCATTCATTTGAGTGTAACACCATTTTGGTAAAAGATTTAATCTACATAAGTAATTTGTAGTTCATGGCTTATGCCTCAATAACCATGATCCGGACTCTTCTCTTGCCGGCACCACGACCCTCTTCCTTGACGGAGCTGACATTGACACGAACACGCTGGAAGAGTTCGACGGTGACACCCCGTTCCTTCTCTGGGTGGCCCTTCTCGCCCACGCGAAGAGTGTATTCCTCGCTATCGAAGTCAGTGGTGCGGTGGGGTGCGAGCTCTCGTCTTTCGGCGACGGAACGAGATCCAGATTCACCGGGCAGGACGAAGTCCTCCAGACGAACAACACCTTCAATGCCGAAGCGGGGAACAAAGATGACGACACCGTTCTCGAATACACGCATAACATAGCCATCTTCCTCGATACCGGAATCTTTGCCAGCAGCAGCGACCTTCTCGCCACGGGCCTTAAGAGCCTGACCAACGTAGTATTCGATGCTAGCACGGCCGGCAAACTGTGCATTGCGGTGACGAACGTTGATGTTACGGCAAATATCTTCCAGCTTGCTGCGAGTGCTGACACCCTCGATAACAGCGTGTCCATCCTCGCCTTCATACCCAATGGCAGAAGCCAGTTGTCGGTGGACGAGCAGATCGGCATAACGACGAATGGGTGAAGTGAAGTGAGTGTAGATGGGCGAGGCAAGACCATAATGGCGGAACTCGGATTCGGCGTGTGCACCTGCGCAGAAGTACTCGGCAGAGGTCATGCAACGAGTCGCCAAGATACGGACAAGGGTATTAAAGAAGGGGTTCTCGGGGTCGACACAGCGGTCCAAGGAGTCAGCCAAAGCTCTTGAGCTGGAGACATCGAGTTCCATGTTTCGCTTTTTCGACAGTTGGTTGGTGAGGTCCTCGAAATTCTGCGGTGGGGGAGTGGCGTGTCGGCGTAGCAACGCAGTCTGGGAGAAGGCTTCGTAGATCTTAGAGCCGACAGTGATGTTGGCGAGAAGCATGAACTCTTCGACCAAGCTGTTGGTCTCGAGCATAGCCTTAGTCTTGACGTCCGTCAAAGGGTCGCCCACTTCATCACCTTCGGTCTCGATGCGAACTTCAGGGGAGGCAAGGTTCAGAGCACCAGCATCCATACGCTTCTGGCGGAGAACCTTGGAGAATTTCAAGAGATTGCGCATGCTTTCGGTGAGCTCGTCCTTCTGCGACTTATCGTCGATACGCAACTGGGCTTGTTCGTAACTGAACGCTTCCCGGGAGCGAATAACAGATTTAGTGAAGTTCGAAGACACGATCTCGGCATCGGGAGTCATCTCCCACAGAACTGAGAAGGCATATCGTTCAACGTAGGGTTTGAGGGAGCACAGGTCCGTACCAAGAAGATGCGGAAGCATATCGATACGCTTGTCCACGAGATAAACGGTAGTTCCGCGAACACTGGCCTCAAGATCCATTGGGTTGTTCGGCTTGACGAAATGGGACACATCTGCGATGTGGACGCCAACTTCAAAGTTTCCATTCGGTAGTTGACGCGCGTGGAGTGCGTCGTCAATATCCTGACAGCCGGGAGGATCAATGCTGCAAATCAGCAAGTCACGAAGATCTCTCCGGCCATTCCAACCCTTGTCCTCCTTCGACGCGGGAACCTTCCAATCGTGTCCTTCAGATGGGAGACAGTCAAGGACGGACTTGGGGAATGGCTTGTACTGCACGTCATATTCAAGCAGCAGAGCCTCGGTTTCGGCGCCCTTAGTTTCAAGCTCGCCCAGGGATCGAATGAAGTGGCCGGTGGGGTATCGAGAATCCCGATCCCAAGCATCGATGGTGACGAGAATACGCTGACCGAGCAGATCGCCAGCTTGTCTAGTTCGTACTCTGATCTTTGGAATTCGCTTGTCCATCGGCAGTAAGAAAACATTTTGTTGTCGCCGACCTGATGCAGCCTGGGAGCCGGTGGAACCCGAGTCAACGTGACCAACGTATTGGCGCCAGCTGCGCTTGATAACACCAACGACCTTGGCAGTGGGTTGAGGCTTGCCTTCTGCGTTCTTGCCGTGGGCCTTCTTGACCTCTTCCTGGAGAGCTTTGCGTTCTTTGTCCGTTACCACAGCCTCGTTTTCTTCACTATCCGGGTTGTCGTTCCGGGTCACAGCCTCCTCGTCCATGATCTTGGTCGAGGGGCTTTTCCACTGGTCTTGTGGCAAGATTTCAACCACAACAGAGTCACCTGAGATGGCGCGGTTGCTGTTGTCGCGGCCCAAAATGAGAAGCGGCTTATCAAAAGCGGCAGTCTTGACGGAGCCTTCCAGATAGTTGTAGGGCGAGACGTTGTAAATACCTTGATGCAATGTCCCTGCGCGCAGTCCAGTCGTGAGTTTGGACATGGAAAAGTACTCCGGGTAGAAAAGGTCTCCCCGAGATGCCTCCTTTGCATCCCGCGCATCCTTTGAGTCACTGATCATGTCTAAAAGAAGCTCTGAACCATCCAGACCAGTGACGTAGTCGGATAGCGACAAGGCTGTAATGTTCTCTTCCTTCGCCTTCCGAAGATTCTCCTTGTCATCAGTGATGACCACAATTGCTGGCATTGTCTTCTCTTTCTTGGCCTTCTTTGCGGACTGTTGCAGATGGTATCCATACCAGCTGGCTACCGTGCGCACAGCGCGATCATTCCTGTCATTGATAGTTTCCTCCGGGCCTCTCCGAACATGAGTCTCACGGCGAAACTCATTGAAGAAGAGGTAATAGCGCTTCTCGTCTGACTTGATCAAAGCTAGAAGACGATTGTAGAGCGGTAGTGATCGGTTTCTCAACTCCTCGAGGACGGTCTGAAGAATGATCACATCGTAGAAAGCACCAGTGTGCTCAAAAAGATCCATTCCATTGAGCAGCGCATTCGTATCGGGAAGAAGGTAGTGGCCTCGAGGGAATGCCTTCGTACCGGCGGGGCGATCGGATAGGATGAACGGCGCAACTGTTTCGCATTAGTCAATCGGTTCACCACCAGCATACACATTGAGTCTTACTGTTTCCATTGGCATCAGCGGGCGCGATCTTGGGGCATTGCGAGCAGAGCTTCGAAGAGCAAGGAATGTCTTCTCTCAAATAAAGCTCGCGAACAATCTTTTGCACTTTCCCACTTCTTGTGGACCTCACAAAGACCTTGCTGGTGACGTTTGCGGCCTGCGGGTTGGTAGAGGTGTCTCTCCGTAAGCTCTTCATGGTGATAGAAATCTGCCTTCCGAGACAGTGGCTCAGTCAAAACTCGTGAAATATTGGAGGTGAGAGAGTCTTTGCGGAAAAGGTTATCGGTGGAACGCGATAGCTGAGTCAGCGCATATCAACGTCGAGGTTCCTGCCCTATAACGCTTGCAAAAGCGTTCGAAATTCGAATGTCTTGGATCATGGCGGTATTCGAGTTAAAGTCCTGCCCAGATATCTCTCTATGGTATGTTTATTAATAAAAAAGCGTCATAGGATTCCTGTAGGAGAGGTCTTGTCGGATCACGTGGTCCTTGTACGATAAGGCGTGACTCGATCGACTGTCAACATCATCTGCTTGCTACAACAAACTCCTTTCCTTAAAAAAGGATCCATATCACGAGCCTTCAAACTAGTAAATATGGTTCTTGCAGTATGTTTACCATCAGTCGGGTGTGAGACCAGATTGCTGACCAAGTTGATCTTGAGATAGGCCGTGGGGCAGCTCTGCTCAACTGCCAACATAACGTCAAATCTAGCTCAATGCCAAGTCCTGATTCAAAAGGCAGCAGCAGCAGGCGCTAAGGTAGATTTTGATATATTGTTCTGTCACGTTTCTTACAATTGACTCAAGTGCTAGGTGCTGTTTCTTCCCGAGGCCTCGGACTATATCGCATCTTCGCCAGAGCAATCTTATTCCCTCGCCAAATCTCGAGAGTGCGCCGACTTCGTTTCAGCTTTACAGAAAGATGCCGAGAGACAGAACTTGCATATCAATGTCGGGATCCATGAAATAGCTTCTGATACCAGACTCAAGAATTCATTGATCTGGATTGATAACAAGGGAGCCATCACCCAGAACTACCAGAAGATTCACCTTTTTGATGTCGATATCAAGGATGGTCCAACCCTCAAAGAGAGCGCGTAAGTTCTTTTGCAGAGGTCAAACGATTGATATATAGTTCGCTAACTGCTTGAAGGAACGTCCAGCCGGGGCAACAGATCCCCAAGCCATTTGATACACCTATCGGGCGTGTTGGTCTAAGTATTTGTTTCGATGTTAGTACTATCCTCGCATATATCCATTACGCGGGCTTCTGCGGTTCAGCTTTCTAATTATGTACGCCTGGAATTTGCAGTTACGATTTCCAGAGATCAGTCTAGCATTAAGGCGACAGAATGCCGAAGTCATTACATATCCATCAGCATTTACGGTCCCGACTGGGAAGGCCCATTGGGAATCCTTGCTACGAGCAAGAGCTATTGAGACTCAGTCATACGTGATAGCAGCTGCTCAGGCAGGCCCGCACAATGAGAAAAGACGAAGCTATGGTCACTCGATCATTGTCAATCCGTGGGGTGAAGTTGTAGCTAAGCTGGGAGATGAGCATCAGGAGCCACAAATTGCGACAGCCGACGTTGACCTTGATCTTGTGGCGAAGATTCGGCGAGAAATGCCGTTGCTTCGAAGAAACGATCTCTACCCGGAATTCTGAGAGCTTCACATGAGCAATCAGACAATTGTCACTCAAGGAATGCTCCTCAGAATAACGTTTTTATCCGAAAGCTTTCATTTCGTTCGTAACTAGAAGTTCTCATGATTTACCGGGTGCGAATTACAAGCAGATATGTTATCAGAGCACATATACCAACTTGACGAAAAACAATGGAGAAAGTACCAAGTAGGGAACAAACGAAAATGAATGAGCATGCAAAAAACCTGTCTAAAAACGAGACCGGAACATCATATCTGCCATCGTAGGTAGTACAGGCGTAAACCGAAGGTGTTCTTTTCCGATCTCTATATGTACAGCGTACAGATTCAGCATTTATTTCTTGACCTTGTCGGGGTCCTCCAGAATACCCTCGGCCTCCAGTCTCCGACGGGCCTCCTCAAGAGCCCATGTTTGTATGCTATCGCAATTGTCAATAATCCGACTATGAGACGAATCTACCTGCGCCGACGCGCTAGGTAGCGGTAAGATTGTACTTACGAAGTGTCAGGCTTGAAGACATATGCGACACCAGCAACCAAGATGCTTCCAATGAATCCGTAGTACCAAATGTTCTCCCAGCCTTCCTTCTCGTATTTCTGGCCGGGCTTCAGACCGAACAGATAGCCGGTGGGAGGGTCATAGTGGTCGCCATGGTCCGCGCCGCCACGGACAACGGACCGGGTTGAGAAAGCCTGGGCCGTCTGAGGCTGGCGCAGCAGGCAGCGCGCGCGGAGCATGTGGGTGATTGGCCGGGCAGGCATGTTGAGGACGGGGGTGAGAGAGTCGAGGGGCGATCGCAGGACACGGGTGCGTGATTAAATCGGTCTGATAGACACGGGCGAGGGTAGTCGCCTTGTCAATTCGGGTGGCAAGGACAATCTCAATTGATGTTGTGCCTCTTGCAGGGAAGTGGAGGGGTGTTTCGGCGTTGATGTTGAAGCCGTAAAAGGCCGGAAGCTGTTCAGTCATGGCACTAGTCCGCTTTGGGTGATTTTCCTGTCCGCCTTTACACCCGATAATTCAGGCATTATTGTGCCTTAAAAGCAGGGTGTCAACACTTGACGCGCGACGCGTGCTTATCGCATCTTACCCCATGCTGCCAGGGTGCTGCACTCACCACTCGATTCGAAGTCTCCGTGTACAAGCAAGTGGCATCGTACATACCATCTGCATCAGTATGTTTTTCCCAGGCCTAGTGCTGTCTTCCTTTCTAACATTGTTCTTCTAAAGCTTCCAGCGGAATGTATCCTTACCATTTTTGAACGCGTCATTGGATATTTCTAAACCGAGGCAATGGCAACAAACAATTCATACCCAATTTCGTCGAATTCACGAACAAAGTTAAATGCCTTTCGCTACAAAGACGAAGACGACAAGACAAGCAAAGACGAGGCGAAACCAGTCCATGGGAACAAGGAAAACCAGAAATCGTGGTCCAACGGGGTGGTAGATCCGATGCAGACGTCACCGGACCAAGGCAATGCTCCGGCTCCTCAAGCACAAGCACCAAAGTCAGAAGCCCAAGAAGCAAAACCGATCAAGGAATGCCCTCAGACTCCGGGAAACAGGATACCTCTGGCGGATTTGATTAGCAATGCTGAGGATTCTTTCGACCCCGCTCCAGGTCCAGACGTGACCCCAGTTGAGCATGTCATTTGGCAGCATGTCCCTGCCAGCTCAAACCCAGATAACTCGTCACAGACGCCATCAGGGCGTCGAAGGAAGCGACGACTCAGCTCTTCTCCAACCGGTTCTCCTTCAATTGAGAAATCTAAAAAGCACCCAAAGGAGCCTCTCGATCTGCAGTCAATACAAGCGCTATTTAAAACACCCCAACACGACATGGCAGCTGAGTTGTGGAACAACTATGTGGATAAAAACATGGTCGATAATGCCGAAGATCTTCCGCCGCCTCGTCTGGCAAATCTTCTCTCCTCTTCACCTCAGACGCCTGGCTCGGGCAGGGCAAGTCGAGACTCCTCAGGACTGAGACGTTCGATCAGTTGTGCGGCTGAATTTCCCACATCACGGGCAAAGAGACGACGCTTCAATAGACAAGATGGTGGTGCTAATCGCGGCATATTTCAGCGAACGAGCAGCAATGTTCTGGAATCTGGAAAACCCAAGGCCTCGAGGATCAACTATCTTATGGAGAAGATCGAGAAATCAATACACCTGGCGCCCGTCGACACAAATCCACCTGGCTCCTCGCCTCTTCGGCAGCACATGGATGCGCGAAGGTGTCGTTCGTCTTCTCCAACAAAGGATCGCAAAGCTCTCGAAGATGTTGCAGAAACCAATGAATCCCCATGTGCTGCACCAATTGATAAAGGGAGACCTAATCAACGGCCCGTGCTTCAAGAATCGTCTTCAGACTTCGGAGACGATGATCTTGATCAAGATCTCATTGACTTGGCTGATGCTTCAGCGGATCCATTTGTTGATGCAGTGCGACCATCAAACGAGTTTGATTCTCTAGGATCCTCAGACTGGGCCGCTCTCGCTGCTGAAAAATCACGCTCTTGGCAGCCAAAGGAGAATTCAGTACTCGATAGCAAACCTTCTACCTCTCACAAACTTACGAATAATGAACTAAAACGCGATGAATTCGACGATTTTGATGACGACTATGATGATCTGCCGGACAACTTGCAGGAAATCCTTGCAAAATGTGATAAAAAGCCGGACCAGCCCAAGGCGGCTAAGACCGCCACTGGCGAACCACTCCTCAAGAACTTAGATGCGACGAATGCTCCCGTGGGTGCCGTGTCTGGCAAGTTCCCTGCCACTACGGGTGTCAAAGCTGAGGCGGCATCATCTGATGATGAATTTGACGATGACTTCGATTTGGAAGCTATCGAGCAGACTATGAAGCAGGCAGGGGAAGGTAAACCGGCTCATGTTTGTCGCTCTTAGTGTGTTTATTTTCTATATATATGCTAAGACATGAACAAATTAGAACCTTAAAGATCGACAATCTATCAAACGTTATCAAGTCATTGATATTACGGACGGCACATATGTGAATCCAAAAGGACGTACTCAGCCAGAGCAGGTCTGATACCTTGCCCTTTTCCAGATCTAGATCTCGCCGCTGACCTTAAGAACAGGTGTTGCTAGTTGAAGAGGAGAAAAGACGAGACCGCAAGGTCATCTTTTTGCGAGAAACATGGTTCGACACTCCTTGCACCAAGGACTCATACATCCATCTGGTCGGAGACTTTAACGCTACCGGCCAGTGCATAGTGGACAACTCCAACAATATGGTTATCCTTCATCCAGATCATCTTATCTCTGCGACGGTTGTGGCAGACTCGGTCGAGTGCCAGCGACGAGCTGTTCTCCAGGATCGAGTCAAAGTCATCGCAGCACTCGAGCGACCGCAAGCATTCGGTGTGTTCTTTCACGAGATCTTCCAAGAAGCTCTGAAATTGAATCAATGGGATATGGATTCGATGAAATCTTTGGCCGAAACTGTCATGGGGAGACACGTTGAAGATCTGTACTCAATTCAGATGAGTATACCCGAAGCTGTTGAATATCTCATGAGCAAAATGCCTGGTGTTCTTGCTTGGGCAGATGCCTTCCTTCATCTGAAGCCGCAGGTATGTCTCGCAAAGGTCTCGATAGGCTACAACTCCTACTAACCCAAATAACAGGCTAATTCTATTGTCGAAGACCGCAATAGTTCCAAGCTCAACCTAAGCATCAACAAGCTACTTGAGGTGGAGGAGCATATCTGGTCTCCGATGTACGGTCTCAAAGGAAACATCGATGCGACGGTGCAAGTCGCTTGTCGCGAGCAGGGAATTGAGAAAAACCTGGTTGTTCCTCTGGAACTAAAGACCGGACGGAGAGATACGAACCAGGCACACAGGGCTCAGACAGCCCTTTACACCCTGCTCCTGTCTGATCGATATGGTAAGTCGTTAAACGCGCGCAATAACTTGCCCTCGACTATTTGCTAAATGCTGTTGCAGATCTCGATGTTACCTTTGGGCTACTTTACTACCTTGAGGTGTCAAGAACACTCAGCATCCGTGGTATCCGACATGAACTTCTTCAAATGCTCCAGGTACGAAATCACCTGGCGGGCTATATCCGCGAAAGAGATCATCTTCCACCGATGCTGAAGAAGGCACGCCAATGTAGCAGGTGTTATGCGAAGACCCCTTGCCTCATCTACCACAAACTCGCTGAGGATGGCGATGGTGAGACCAGCGGACTGGCGGAGGATTTTGATGCGTCTGTTGGTCATCTGAACAACGGTGATCGTGACTTCTTCCGGAAGTGGGATGGACTTCTTACCAAAGAAGAAGGAAACCTGGTGAAGTTCCGACGGGAACTTTGGACATTGTTGAGTCACGAGCGTGAAGCTCTCGGTCGATGTTTCGGTGATGTCGTTCTTGATACCAAGTCTCCTTACGAGGAAAACACTGGTACGAAGATCAATCGCTACCACTATACATTCCACAAAAGACACCCGTCTCCCGGTTTCTCTTTTACAGAATCACAAATCTCTATTGGTGAGCCGATTGTTGTTTCCGACGAAAAGGGCCACTTTGCCCTCGCGAACGGATATGTGGTGCAAGCCAGTTTCTCGCACATAAAGGTTGCAGTTGATCGGAAACTTCACAATGCAAGATCACGGACAGCTGGATTCGATGCTGTTACAAACCAATCATTCAAGGGCATCATGGAGATCGGGGCAAAAGAACCCGCTGTTCTCGAAGATCCGGATGAGCAAGTTGTTTACCGAATCGACAAAGACGAGTTCAGCAACGGCATGGCCATTGTTCGAAACAATCTTATCTGCATGATGGACAAAGACTTGTTCCAAGCAAAACACATGCGTCGACTCATCATTGAAGGGGAAACCCCTGCTTTCAAGACGACGTCATCTGCATACCCGATCTCGGATCCTGGGAGCCTCAACGTTGATCAAAGGCAAGCTATTGACAAAGTTATGAGTGCCAAAGACTATGCTCTCGTCCTTGGAATGCCCGGGACTGGAAAGACGACCACCATTTCTCACATTATTCGGGCCCTTGTTGCACAGGGGAAGAGCGTTCTCCTCACGTCTTACACGCATACTGCAGTCGACAACATTCTGTTGAAGATCCGAGATGACAACATCCGCGTCCTGCGTATCGGTGCCACCGCCAAGATTCATCCAGATGTCCAAGGCTTTGCGGATCTTGCCGCAGTCCCGAAATCAACCATCGAAGAACTCAAGGATTCATATGAGAAGCCGCAGGTCGTGGCCACTACATGCCTAGGAGTCAACCACAACATCTTCAACCAGCGCATCTTCGACTATTGCATTGTCGATGAGGCTTCGCAAATCACGCTCCCGGTTTGCCTGGGCCCGATTCGAATGGCAAGGACTTTCATCCTCGTCGGCGATCACTACCAATTGCCGCCCCTAGTGCAGAACAAGGCAGCTCAAGAAGGAGGCCTGGACGTTAGTCTTTTCAAACTGCTGTCAGACGCGCAACCAGACTCTGTCGTCAACCTTGAGCATCAGTACCGCATGTGTGAAGAGATCATGTTGCTCTCTAACACACTTATCTACTCGGGTCGTCTCAAATGCGGCACACCCCAGGTAGCTGCCCGGTCCTTGGATCTACCCAACATCAATGCCCTCGATCAATTCCATGCCAAGGACTTCGGCCATTCCCCATCGCAGAAGGATATCTGTCTGGGCACCCCCCATGCCTCCTGCTGGCTACGAGACGTCCTCTCACCGTCAGCAAAAACCCGCCTAGTCAACACCGACCCCATCGGCCCAGCAGCCCTCGAAATAGCACAGGGCAACCGAGTCGTGAACCACATGGAAGTATTCCTCTGTGCGCAACTCGTCGAGTCATTCATCGCCTGTGGCATTCCCGCCCGAAACATCGGCGTCATAACCTTCTACCGAAGCCAACTCTCGCTCCTCCGCCAAAGTCTACGCCGACACATCCCCGACCTGGAAATGCACACAACCGACAAATTCCAAGGCCGAGACAAAGAAGTCATAATCCTAAGCTGCGTCCGCAGCAACACCGAAAACAACGTCGGCGAGCTCCTCCGCGACTGGCGCCGCGTCAACGTCGCCTTCACCCGGGCCCAGACCAAACTTCTCGTCGTCGGCAGCAGATCCACCCTCCGTGACGGTAACGACCTCCTCTGCAAATACGTCCGTCTGGTCGAAAGCAAGGGCTGGGTCTACAATCTACCCAGTGCAGCACTGGACAAGCACGTCTTCCCATCCTACGCCACACACTCGCAATTCATGTCCCCGGGTGCTCCTGGCTCCACAAAGAGCCAGAAAGCGAAAACGAGCCCAACACATGCGAAAAAGACTCCCGCTTCTCGTTCTCCGCGTGAACCACTCAGTCCACTCGGTTCCCGGCAACAGGGCAAGGGCCTACGGAAACCTGCGAAGACGGGCGCTAAGTTGTTCAATGGGACTGATGTTGTTGGGAATCGGCCTATCCTCCAGGATATTGTGAACGACCTCACGGGCTAGCGCTAGCACAGCGCCTGTACATCATGTATCACGACATTTGTTTCTACCACCATCAATACGAATCGAATCGGGGTGTTGTCATTCTTATTTTGCGCGGCTTGGATATCCGCTGGCGCAGCTATTGTCATAGTATCTTGGTGTTTGGAATTGGCTGATAAACTATTGGGCATCCTGTATATTTGTATTTCTGGCTTTTCTTTCCATTTGGCATACTTCGGCCTGTTGGTTTAGGCTTTCGAATGTGAATCTGATTGTTCACGTTCGATTCATTTCTTCCGTTGTAGTGCTTCGGTATTGTCTCAATTGACCCTTCTAGTGTTCCTTCAACTAACCTATATGAGGTGTGCCTTCTTTGGCAGTCTGTCCGTAGCGTATAGCGCTCATGTAGTCCTGTTTTGGTCTAGTCATCACCAATTTCCAAGGAGGTCAGACCCAATGGTCGGTCTAGTGTGTTCCTCCAAAATTTGCCGTTTAGTGCATTTCGGTCCGATATGTAGATTGCTAGGCTGGTAGAGCCGCAGTGGAGGGATATGTGCTGTTAGTTCAGCTTGTTGTTGATCGCATCCGATTGTTGACTTGCGTTGTGAGGTGGACTGAGTAGGACTGCTTTTAAGGGTGCTATGCATCCGGCTGCGAGAATGTTAGTAGGAGACTTCGTGCTGTCTAGAGACACTCGCTCACTCTTTGCTTCGTCTCGTGAGAGAACAGAGGAAGGTCGAATCTGGGGCAGAGGTGGTATTGGACCAGCGAGGCTTTGGAAGGAAACTGGCAGTTTAGGGAATGGGAAAACGAAACACCCTACGTAAGAGCAAAGAACAAATATCTGAAAGTCTACGTCGAAAGATATAAAACGGGTAAAAATGTATTGGGCAAGCAGGCGACAAATGTCCCTAATGATCCTATGGAGACACCGCATCTGCGGTCGAAAGTCCCGTAAACTTTCCGTGCGCATTAAACCTCGCATCTCAAAGAACAAACCCTCATAATAGCAGAAGTCACCATGTTCCATCCTCCTCATAAAAAATAGCAAAAAACACCATTCATCAATGTTCCATTCTCATCATGATAGCAAAAACACACCCTGTTTCATTCCTCGAGGGCAAGTCGCGCTTTCTTGCTGTGAGGTCCGTTCAAGTAGATCCTTTCCTTTCTCTTGGTGTCTGGGACGAACCATCGGCCATGGTTATCAGGGTTGGCCACAAAGCTTTCGGGCACGACTTTGTCCACAAACTCAAAGCTCCTCTTGCTGGAAGGTGCCGGAGAAATGAGCTGCATGCGATCGATAGGCAAATTGTGGCTGGCTCCATGGTGGAATAATGAAGCAGAAACGGCAGGTTGATACTGCTGCGCAGTAGGGAGAGTGAGATAAGCAGCCTGGCCTTGAGGAACAGTCTGCAGTTGCTGATTTGGATATGGGGTACCATAAGCCGGCCCGGCTAGACGAGCGACCCGTATTGGTGGAGTGACCTGTACCTGCTGGGCCGGGTAGACCAACTGAGGCAATTGGGGTGACAGGCTTGACTGGGACAGCTGATTCAACTGAGGTGCTTGGATCGGCTGGAACAAGCGGGGCGACTGCTGGTGTTGCTGTTGCTGGCGGATCTGGTTCTGGTGCCGTAAGTACCGTAGGTGCTGCTCATGCGTCATCTGTTGCTGAGCCGAGTGGAGTGTCTGGGACGACCGAGACAGCTGCCGGCGGGCATGCTCCTGGCGGGCTTGTTGCTCGTGGGCCAGTTGCAATTGTTGTAGGTGTATTTTGTGATCCATTTGCTGTTGAGGTGACACCAGGTACTGATGCTGCTGGTTGGCCAATTGCATATTGTATAGGTGCTGTTCGTGTTCCGTCTTGCGCGGATCAGACATGAATGTCTGAATCGACTGGTGAGCCCGTTGTTGGCGGGCCAGTCGCAAATGCTCTAGGTGACTTTCGTCTTCCGTCAGTTGCCGAGACGCCTGGAATGTCTGCATCGACTGAGGCAGCTGCTTGCGAGCCTTTTGCTGGCGGGCCTGTTGCAGATGCTGTAGGTAATGATCGCGCTCCGGCTCTTTCCTAGCCGACTGGGACGACTGCATCAACTGGGGCAATTGGGTTGCCTGGGGCAGCTGGGTGAAGTGGGTTGTCTGTTGATATTGCTGCTGGTGGCGACCCTGGTTCAGGTGCTGCTCACGATCGATCTGTTCCTTACAGAGGCTGTTTTGGAGCTTCTGGTTCATACGCTTCAAGTGCTGCTGTTGGTTCCCATAGACGTTCTGCTGTCCCAAGTATTTTTCCTCGTATAGCTGGTGTTGTGCCTCGATAGACATTGGTGTGATGGGATTGAGTGAAACTTTCTGAGGAGCCTCTTGGGGGGTCTTGAAGACAACATCATTGACCGATGCTGGAGGAGTAGGTGCGATCCTGCGAAGCACTCGAGGTGAGGAGCTCGTCGGGGTGGGGTATCGCTTTGGGGTCTTCGCTCGAGGCCTGCGCTGAGCAGGTGTCCTCTTTTGTGGTGCGTTTTGTGTGCGTTTTGTTGTGCCATTAGCAGGCTCACTGGCAACCGAAGCATGCGCTTTCGCATTCGGTACGAAAATTGCCCTCTTTGTCTCACCCACCTGAGTGACGTCGCCGATTTGAGCAGGCAGGTTGGGCGGGCTGTCAGTTAGATCAATTGAGCCGATAGAGTAGGGTGGAGTTATGATCGTGGATCGATTGATGGCTTGGGACGAGGAGGTAGGTGCAGCGTCTAGGGTTGTGTGCGCCATTGGGACTGAATCATGGGCTATTTCTGGAGTTGGGGTGGACAGATCGACGATTGGGGGATCAGAAGTTGGATTTGAGTCGGTGGCTCTGACCAAGCTGGTGGAAGAGGGCTCCGGGCTTGTGCTTGCGATTGGAATGGATGCCTCAGCGGAAGTATGGCCAGCAGTTGTAGAGGAGCTGTCTGTGTCCAGTGAAGCGAGGACAGCTGTCACGGCGGCTTCAGTGTCGTTCAGGAGTGCAATGAGCTCAAGGTCGAAGGTAGTGTTGTAAAACTCCTGTGCGGCGACTGGGTCGCAAAGATATGGGATATCCTCGCAGAAGTGGCTTGGAAGGACAGTGGGATCGGTAAAAGACGTGTCAGAGGTGGGAGACATGGAGGAGCTGAGCTCGAAGTGATCGGTAGTAGGTCGGGAAAGAACGGGCTCCCGATTTCTGGCAGCAGGAACGATGGGAGTAGGAAAAGGCCAGTTCCAGTTGACATGACCGTTCAGGGGCGACTCAAGTGATGCTTTGTAAACGAGAGTATCATTGAGTCCAGCTTTCGCTCCAGCTTGATTGCGCTTATCGCTCAGGACGAAGTCGAAGATGTTCTTCGCATGGGTTTGGTCAGAAGAACGCATGATGGATAAATGACGGGATGAATCATGAAAGGTGAAAGGAATGCAAAGGAATTGATTTCGGTGAGATGTAGTGACGAGCATAGAGATGCACAGCTGCCCGTGTCATAAAAAGTTGAATCACAGAGCAAATAGATGTGGTAGGTACAAAAATAATAGAGATGCCACAACAAATAACGCTGAATGGGTAGCAATAAGCAAGAATGATGAGTGGTGGTGGAGAGAGATAAGAGAGAAGAGAGATGGGAGGAGGAAGGAGGAAATAGGGAAGATAAGGGGAAAGAGACACGAAAGAGTCAATGTTTCTGCCCCAAGAGACAACCTGTGGATGAAGTCCTAGAACATCAGTTTTCGGCTACGGATGCTCCCACCAATTCCCAAGATACAGCCATAGCGTTCTCTTCCGGTAGTACCATCAAAGTGAACCCGTCTCTGCCTTCCACAGCTTCCTTTCCAAGCGTTGAAACGGCAAGAGAGAACCAGGATTTGCCTTTAGTATGATGTCTATTCAAGGACGACGTTAGCTTTATACCGGACTTCATTGATTTCAAGTCATAAGCGTCAGTTAAAACTCACCGTAGAGCTAAGAATAGTTCCATTACCCAGCGGGATGATATGTAGCCATGCCATTTCACGCTTATCAAGTCGGAAGGTTCACAGTTCTCTGGAACAGAGTAACGGCTCAGGAACGGATCGACGTCATCTTCCCCAGACACACGGGGTGATTTTATGTGAACCAAGGCAATCCATTCCAGAAGAGAGCCCAGATGGTCCTGCAGTTCGCCTTCCTGCATATTATCGATGTCTTGTGCAGTTGCGCTAAATGCTGGGGTAAGGATTTGCCGATGCTCAGTCTCAGATGGCTCGCATGTCATTAGCTGAGGTTGAAGTTGATGGATTGGTCTGGTCCCTATTTCGTCCCTTGTTAGTCTATCTCTTAGGTCTGCTATTCTGGTTCAGGTATATATATACCTTTGTCCGTGTCAGGGGTATCTTCTAGATCGTAAAAGAGCCATGCCATCGACTGAGTCAGAACATTCGCAAAGGCCCAGACGATTCTTTCGAAGCCTTTCTTGCCATGTAGCATGGAGGGCAGTCGAAGGTTCAATTCCACCACTGACGACATCGTTAGTAAGCGATGATCGCACATCTGTGAAGCTATATTTACAGAATCTTTCTTTTGCATGTTTCCTACCGCCGCTGCGGAAAGGTTTGCCGGTAAGACCTGTTCGTTCATAGATTTCCTTTCCCAACTCCATTCGAAGAACTCCTATTACAACAGTGTTAGACATCCATGTTGACGAGGAAGCGGCCTTCGGGGCGGCTTCAATGGGACGAACCGTCTCGGAGCGTGAACACATTATCAGATCCCGAACGACCTTCAGATATCATCAGAATATTTCCTATAGTCCAAGTTAGAACATGACTCCAGATATATATGATAGGTCTAAGCAGCGTTTTAGGTCCCGGGGTTGCAGCTTCCGAGAAAGCAAGATGAGAGAAACCCTTCGGCTTCCAGGACCGAGCTGGAGGCATATATACCTGACTTGATGTAGGTGTTGAAGAAATCATGCTCCAGTAGAGCAGAAGGGGCCATAAATACTCGCGCATATCGAGGTTTATCCAGCGTGGCTTTCAATAAGGACTCGATCTGCGAGTAGACCTCCTTCGGCATGATAGCCTCAACCTGTGTCGATCATCAGCCAACCGGCCAACTCCCCGTGGGATCAATGAATACCGACCGAGTGTGCAAATGCATAATTTTGAATTGTAGAGAAGGGCGCTCTTTTGCTTGGGATTTGCTTCGGGTCGATGAATTCCGGCAAGCGGGTGATGGTCGTGAAGCACTTTTCGCGACACGATGCGTCGTCTTCTTGGTCAAACATGGCTGCAGTACTCGGCTGCTTTGCAAGACGTGCAATATTCGGTGATTGTATCTCTTGTGTGGGCTTAAACTGAGCACGACAATTTTTCCAACGGGTTGAGGTTTGATTAAGCTCGGAGGCTTATCGGACCCATAAGGCTGCAGCAATCAAAGCTCCTATTCGTCGGTCTAGTCACAACTATACATGTATACATGAGATGTGTGGGAGAGGTATCTTACAGCTGGGGCATTTAGGGTGATGGTTGTTATCTAGGGATGAGCTTGAATACAGGGGTAAGGATCACCTTATGGTGCACACATATAGTCCAGCCATTATAGAAGTATCACATTCATACTGCACTGGTACATGTACAACGCAGGGCCAAAGGCTTTACTGTACACGTATTTTTGTTTATAACATCGCCCGGTGTCAGTCTTGCATAGTGCTTGCTCTATTAGATCCTTTCTTATCGTGCAAGGAGTGACAACAGGGTTCTTTAAACAACCCAGAGTTTGTCATAGAATCCCGTTATTCACAAGCAACATGTGTCCATAGACAGAAATACTTAGATACGTCTATAAAAACGTATCTTTATATAATGATTTTTTACGAGGCGATTATATATTGATAAAACCTACCTAGAAACATTGCAATACGCCAGTTGTGGTTCAAGCACGAGTATCTACCTAGGTACTGTATCTGGGTAAGTAATTCACACCAATCTAGGTAGAAGGCGCAGGATCGTGAAGCTACCTGTGACTCCAACCATAACCCAATTCTTTTCTTCCCAAGTTTTCCGCCCACCCACACCGTCCACGTCCAACCACACCGCCCACGTGCCATGGCAGCTCCCGAGAATGACGATCGGCCAGCAGTATCAGAGAGCCCAAAGGCGGTATCCGAATACCCAACTACCCCCATCTCTCATTCACGCAACTCGTCTGGTAGCCAGTTTGGGATTCTAGGCCTTACCCGTTTGATTCTTCTCCTGACTATGATATTGTGCACGCGAAACCTACATTCCAGAACCAATTGAAGGAGGATCAATACCAACTGCCCGCAATGGCTCCTCCTCCGCGTCGCGATCTCCTCCACAAGGACCACTTTGCGTTCGTGTTTGGAAGTGCAAAGACCCAAAACTACTATGATCCTGCTGCCAAGGGACCGGGATCTCACACGTAAGTCGAGGTCTTGCGCATCGAGCTGGGCCCACTTACTGACAACGACCTGGAACCATAGCATCCGAACACTTGCCTGGAACCCCACTGGCCAATTGATAGCTACCGGTTCAGCAGATCGCACTCTACGGATCTGGAACCCCGATCGCGCTAATGTCCGCTACTCCACCGAACTGCGCGGCCACACCGCCGGCATCGAGAAAGTCCTCTTCAATCCAGTCCGAGACGCAGAGCTAGCCAGTTGCTCGACAGATGGTACAGTGCGCTTCTGGGATGTACGCTCCAAGACCTGCGTAAGCAAGCTCGACGTCGGCGGCGAAGCATTCACTCTCTCCTGGTCTGCAGACGGCACGACAATGATCGTTGGCACGAAGGTAAACACCAACCGGTCTCCCAAGCCGGTCCCTGGATCGCGAAAGCAAAAGCAACCCCCTAACACACACCTTACCCAGGATGACACATTGATCCCCATCTCCGTCGAATGCCCATCCACAGTAACCGCCCACCCAGACGGCGCAAATGCCCTAAACCTCCCCTCCTCCCAACCAGGCACAACAACCTACACAGCCCTCGCTCCACACCCGCAACCCGTCCAAACAAATGCCACAACCTTCTCCTGGTGCATGCCGACCCCAGAACGGCCCGAGCAACACTTCTTTACCACAACCGGCGAAGGCAAGGTCAAAATCCTCTCCTACCCCTCCTTCAACGTCTTGTACACACTCAACGCCCATACCTCCGCCTGCAACGCCGTCGCCCTCGCACCTACGGGCCGGTACCTTGCAATCGGCGCTAGCGACGCTCTGATCTCCCTCTGGGATACGACAGACTGGATCTGCCAGCGCACGCTGTCAAGCGAGAATGGCGGTGCTATCCGCGGTGTGAGCTGGAGTTTCGATGGCCGCTATATCTGCGGCGCTTGTGATGAGCTTGGATGCGGTGGAAATGGTCTTGAGATCTTCCATGCTGAGTCTGGGGATAGTATCTACACTATTCCTACTGCTGGTGCTAATGCTGGTGTTTCGGCTGTTGCGTGGCATCCTTCGCGTTACTGGCTGGCTTACTCGACTACTACTGATGGTCCCGGTAGTTCCAGTTCCGGGGGTTTGAAGATTGTCGGTGCCGCGGGTGGTGGGCTGTGAACCTTGAGCGTCATCTGTTGAGCTATTTGTTACTTTCTCTTTTTCCCCATGTGAAGTCGTTCGTATTGTACGATAAATGTTAGGATTATCATGTATGGATGTTACGAATTATCATTATGAATTATCATTAATTATCATTTGAGTTTGCTGTGTAGGATAACTTATTGTTTATTTGATTTACAGTGGTTATATGGTGCCTTACACGTAAATTCCCAAGGTTGAAAAGCCAGGTTCGTGCTCCAAGTAAAATAGCATGAGATATCCAAAAGTAGAGAGTCGAGAGTTCCGCCCAGATTTAGACCGTGTATTCATTCATCATGGAATCATTCACGAGCATAGAGTAGCTCAAAAAAATCGCGGTGAGGAGAGATTTGTTGCAGAAAGAGACGTGGGTCAATAGTCGATTTATCGGTCCTTAAGGTTGGTAAGGTATATATTAGGAAGAGGATAGACTGAAGGCGCTCAGCTGATCCCTGGAGATCATCGTGAGACAGGAGTCGGATAACAAGTTACGCAGGGACCGATGCCTCGTGGATGCCGATGCCGAGCTGGAAAGAGAAAGCCTTGTATAAACACAGACTCATGTTGACATTGAAGGCGATCGGTCGTCCGAGCTAGACGTGAGAGCTCGGGGTCACGATTCTGAGCGTAACTTGTCGTTTAGACGAAGACATGGGTATAGTGATTGGCGCGTCGGGGGGNGGGGAGCTGGCGAGTTCTTATATTGGAAAGGACTCAAGCAATGCTCGATTATGCACTGCTCTCAAGATTGCCGCCAAGTCTCCCAGCTAGGACCAGACTCATTCTCGCCGAGGATTTGCGCCCATTGCGATTCGCTCAATGTCCCGACATTCAAGTTGCTGAAGTCCGCAGGGCCCACGTCTTGATTCGGGGTTGGCAAGTCCCATGCACTAGGCATGGAAAACGGGTTCGATGTATCCGTGGGTATGGCCGGGCTACCAGAATTGCTTTGATAAGCCCGAGCAAGCAGAGCATTCATATCAGGGGCCTGTGAGATGAGATCTCCGGGAGGCATGTGAATTGCATTTAGCTTATCAAATGATTGAGCTGATCCATTGCTAAGGTAGTTTGGACCTGACTTTGGTTGCTGTTTGTCAGGAGATGGATTGTCGACCCCGTTTATTGAGTAGGAGGTGTTGGAGGAGGAATTTAGGGTTGAAGGTGTGGGATGGTCGGAAGGTGGGTTATTTCTCTCGCTGAGGGTGCCGAAGTCTGGTGGAAAGTCCATGTCTATATCGGCTTTGCTCCCTGATCCAGGTTGCTCGGTGATCTGGCTTGTGGTGAGGGTGGCAGCGGTGAAAAGGTGATGTATATTCTCGTCGGTGGAGGGGACGATTGAATCCCTCTGTCGGTTAGGAAGAGAGGTCGTCATACCAGCAGTTGTGGGTTGGCGATTATTGCTACGGCTCGTAGTGTGTTGCGGCGACTCTTCCATTGTTGCCCCCGTTTGTGATTGACGGATATTATAGATGGGAGAGCATTCGACTGCGTCGTTGCAGTAGTTTTGCTAGAGGAATGAGATTAGTTTGGTCCATAAACAAGGAACAATATCAAAACAACTTACTGCCATTGCGTGTGAAGCACGAGCATTTTCTTTCTGTCGGTCATCCAACGCGCGAATGCCAGTTCCATCGAGATCAACGTCCAATTGAACGAGGAAGGACTCGGTCAAGGGATTCTTGCTTTTCATGGCGTTCAAAGCGGAGACAACGAATTGCAGTGAGGAGTGAACACTCGAATCCTCTGGTCGGGATTTGAGATACTGCACGAAAACCCGCGCAGCAATGTAAAGACAGAAAGATATGAATGGGTTCAGCTGTAGCAATCTATTAGTTCGATTTCTAGGGAAGAAAGCTAGATCAAGACTTACGCTTGTTAGATCGACGTGGCTGATCATCTTCATGATGCTCGAGATTTGATTTGCGGCCACAAGGCATCTGCGCTTGCTCTCAATCGTGATCTGATTTGGCATCTTGTTCTTTTCGGCCTTGAAAATCGCAGCTTGGTGGAGACAAATAGTCGAAGTATGAATGCTCATGTTTGCAAAGATGACATTCACATCTGGCATGCCACTTGGAAGGCGAAGATGATCGGGCAATGACAGAGCAATGTGCAAAAGAATATTATCATGGCTCCTGTGTCGTTTCCAAAACTCTCCATTGAGGTCATGGTCGTTGTCGTTTGGTCGAGGCCGATGAATATGGACGAGGTTACGACCAAAAAGACCGGTCAGAACCACCACGCAGGCGAACGGAGCCAAGGTAGCAATGCCCTCGCCAGCAATGATATCACTTAGACGAAGCGTTCGTTGTGGCTTGCTCTTTAAGAACGAATCCTCAGAAGCAGGGAGGTTTGTCATGATCTAATCGATATCAGCATCCACATGCCAACTTAGAAAATGTTTAAGGAAAGTGAGATACTCACGTCGTCTTCATCGATCAGAAGCGGCCAACCAGTTCCGACACTGGCATACCGGTCTGTCGCGAAAGCACCCCAAAACACTCTCCTACGTTCTTCGCGCTCTGTCCAATCTCTTGGTGGTGAAATGGACTGTTTGACATCGAGACCAACACCGTCGAGCCGGTTCAATCCGAGCATCAGTGCTAGTCGTGCAGATTTACCAACGCTCAACCATGCTCGTGGGAAGAAAATCATTTTGAATTCATATGTGCCAATCAGAATCCAAGTTTGGCAATGCGCCAGACTGACGATGTTCTCTCCGAACCCTTTCATTTCGTCCGCTTCGGCATACTTCCGCGCGCGCTGGTAGAAATGGCTGTGTAGGAAGAAGTATTTGTCACTGGCAGATGCAGCATGACACCACATAATGTAGCGCAGACATATAGGCGGCCGCATGTGAGGGGCGAGGTTCAGACTTGCGAAGTACCGGGGGCGATGGATGATCGGCATCATTGGGTAGGTCTTTTCGAAGAATATACCGTCCCTGGAAGGTGATTTGTATTAGACACATGTTGAAGTACAGAGCGGCATATAGCACATACAGTTCGTCAATCACATCCTGTGAAGGGAGGGGTTCCTCCAATCCCAAGGCGATCAAATCCCACTGGGAATCGCTGTTGTTGTTGGCTATCTGAGGATACATCATTTGGCTGGGCTGGACTGGACCAGGCGCATTCGAGGTTTGGAAAGGACCGTCCAAGTCCCCTCCCAACCCCGAGAGGTCAGGCAACGCCAGTATGGACTCATCGTTAATGGGCGCGCCAAATGAATTTTCCGTCTGTTGAGGCGGGGAGGTTCGTTGAGTAGGCTCCGGGTCCTGGCCTTTGAGAAGAGTCTCAACTTGAGCTAAAATAGTAACAATAGTCAGTATAATCCGGGGGAACTAGCAGTATTTGCGACTGTTATCGGCATCCGCACCTAATCGAGCTTCGAGCTGCTTCACATATCCCCGCTTTGGACCGCTCTTCTTGCGCACTTCATCATAGGAGCAGTCATGTCCCAACCGCGAACATGTCCCACAGCTCGGTCGTCTCCCATCGCATCTCAGTTTCCTCCTCCGACACACGACACATGCGATGCGCTTCGGGCGCGGGACAAAGTTGCCTTCTCCGATGCTTTCGACAGCACCATTATCTGCGGACCCGAATTCCATCTGTGACGGACCGGATTCGGTAGCGTACTGCGAAGGGTCGATGCCGAAATTGGACCGCGGGAGTGCCGCCATGGCGTGGTGGCACGATTTAGCGGCTGAGTAATTCGAAGTTGGTGAGGCCAACGGCCTGTGGTTTATCGCGGAGAAATTTGAAACGACACGTAGATGGTCAACGCAAAACGTCGAGCTAGCGACTGCTCATTACCAATATTGGCAGAGTGGGTGGGAAGGAACAAAGTTCTATGGATGACGGCGGGACTTCGTATCAGGAGAGGCTGAGGTTCCCTCCTCCGACTCTTTTATCAGATGCCACGACCCCTTTTTTTACCTTTCGATCGGGTTCCAATGAAAACTATGGGAAAGCATCTAATCTCCGTGGCTTTCCCACCGAGGACGTTGACGTTAGCGATCGACACGAGGGCCACGCACCAGGGAGCTGCCTGGGGGCTTGGCAGACGTCCGGGGATCTATGCGCGCCGATCAGGGTTTAGAGGCCAGAACTGGAACACTTGCAGATACGGATACGAATCCATGCCAATGACGTTCATAATTCTATTTTCTTTCGCTTTGAATGTATATCGCATTGGGCCATCGTACTGTGCAGTGCCCATCGCCCAAGTTTCAACCAGACAGATGTGCAGAACCAAAATCTTCAAATATAGCGCATGATGGAAGAATAGTACACATGATGTGTCAAAAAAAAAAAACAGCAGGGAAAGATATCGTACAGTCATCCTCTGCGCAGTGAGGATGAGGTATAGGAGGAAGTAAGGGCAAATATCTCAGAACATGATGGATTGACCACCTTGACAACTCGAAATCATCTCTAGTTGTAACCACGACGACGCTGGCCTTGGTTGCGAGGTCTGGGGTGCACAACAGCCTTGTTGATCTTCCACTTGGGACGAGTCTTGTAACCAGATTTGGTCTAAAGAAATAGAGTTAGTGCCTGGAAGTCTAGCAATGTGCTGCGAAAGATGACAATACATACCGGAATACCCCAAGGACTCTTCGGGTCGATGTTACCCTTGGACTTACCACGACCACCACCGTGGGGGTGGTCCATGGCGTTCATGGCCAAACCACGAACTGTTGGACGAACGTTGCGCCAGCGGGAACGACCAGCCTTTCCGAGCTGGGTGTAGTGATAGTTCGGGTTGCTGGCGATACCAATAGTAGCGCAGCAGTCCTTGTGAATCAGTCGCGTCTCGCCACTTGAGAGACGGACAGTGATGTGCTGGGCCAGACGCTCCTGTTTCTGCTGTTCGCGCTGAGACAGCTTCTTCTCGACCTTGGCCTCCTCCGTTGCATTTTCCGCCAATGGTTCCTCCTCTTGGATAGTTTGCTGACGCGAGTCACTACCCTTGGCCACAACTGTGGCATAAGTTCCGGCACTGCGGCACAGTTGACCACCCTTTCCAGGTCGCAATCCCACGTTGAAGATGAGAGTTCCCACAGGGATCATGTGCAACGGCAAACAGTTTCCTCTCCAAGCAGTTCTGGCAGCAAGGACACCAGGATCCACGGCACCACCCATGCTGTTCCACAAATCTTCGGGAATTCCAGGCAAGTAACTCTGAACCACATCGCCAGCCCGCATGCCGTCGGCCGCCAGGATATAGCTCAACTTGCCGGTCTCCTTGCTGCGAGTGAGAGCGATGTGTGCACTGCGACCAGGGTCATACTCGATTCGCTCGACCGCTTGCGGTCCGGGGTCCATGCGGAGGAAATCGACGGTCCGAATACGACGCTTCGCACCACCACCGTGATGGCGAACAGTAACTTGACCGGAGTTGTTTCGGCCACCCTTAGCCTGACCACGCTTGGGGAAAGTTAACTTGTGGACGGGACGGCCCTTCCATAGATGGTCATTGACTGGTCGTCGCAAATGTCTGACACCGGGGGTACGCGGAGTGTAGGTGCGCAACACAACACCAGAGTCGTCGCGGCTAGGAGGAGGAGCAAACGAGGTGTTCGGGTCGATAAAAGAGGACACCGATGCAGCGGGCTTGTCGGCAGGCTTTTCAATTTCATTGATGATTGTTGAGTACCCACGCGCAGGTACAGGTAGAGACGGTAGACACCTGAAGGGCAGCCGAATGCCCCGTAGGGCAATTCGGGTCTGAAGCATCACTGGCAGGGGAGGAACTTCAATTAAGAAGAACCAATTGATCCCGGGAAAGGTGAGTACGGAGACACTGAGGTGAAGGGAGTAGGGCGACGAAGACCTAGCTGCTCCTCCACGCTGTATTGTCTCCAACAAAAAGTTCGAGCTAGTCATGTGACTGGTGTTTCCCGCACCGCCTCCGCCACAGTGGCTGACCGGGGCTGCCCATGTGACTATAATTCTGTCCTCTTTCACCGCTTTCTTGTTACACAGGGTGACTAAGCTGTTGCCCGGCAACCACCTGTTTACCCTCGCGCCCTCACTGCCAGGCCGCGCCCTCGCGTATCCACCGTTACAGATGTAATTACACCCTCAACGCCTTATTTCTCCCTACATTGCTGGATCTACTTCCTTCAACCTATCTCAACTCACCTTTTCCTCGTCTATTATTCTGTCCCATTGCTCATCTCATTTCTTCTTAAGAAAGTGCTTGAATATCAATTCCGTGATCCACGCGACTGGGCTGTGGGGCGTCTTTGAGGTACCTGTTTTCGCGCTAGCACAGTAGGGCCAAACATCGCCTTGCCCTCTCAAGTTCTTCCTTTTCCCTCATCATTCCAGTTAAAGATACCCTTTTCACTTTCCCCCCACTCCCCCATCTTCATTTTATCGCGTGCGAATTCCTATCGTACAGCTTGCCAAAGTTATTCTGCTGTGTTTGACACCTCTTTTTCCCGAAACGCGCGCCATTTGACCTACGGAACCGGGGTTCATCGTGGGTCCAAGTCACACGTCAACATAGTTTTGGATTGGACGTGGCTTGTCGAACAACATCAGCAACCTCATCTGAAAAGCTACAGCCGACTGGCCTTGTAGTTCTTTCGGACTAATCGCATTTTCACGCGTGGTACGTGCACTTTGAACTCGAGTCTCTGGTATGAGGACTCCACCGTGGTATTGCTGAACGGAATGCTGACCTGATTGCCCGGCAGGACAAGATTATATTCCTGTCCCTTTCCGTTTCCCCCTACGCGTCCTTTTCTTCTCTTCTTCACGATGCCTCAGGTGAGCAGTCTTTAATCCCGAGGAGCACGCGTCTTATATATTTGTTATTGCATCTTAATACTTAATTACGACAATTGGGTACATCTGGCGGGTTTCCTGGACAGCAAACTGACTCCACATTAGGCTCGCAGCCTTCGTACCAGAGGGACGATGAATGAGAACGATGAGAACGGGCCGTCCGCACGCGTGACGCGGGCAAAGACAGCTGCCCTCACCACCGATATCTCTGTCGAGGGAGCGAAGAAGGCCTTGCAGACCAAGAAGACTACAACAACTGCCGCCACCGGACCTACACGTCGTCGGGCTGCTCTGGGTGACGTCAGCAATGTCAACAAGACTGAAGGTGTTGAGGTGAAGGATGGGAAGAAGCCAGCTGCCAAGGGCCTAGCCTCAAAGACAACTGTCCAAACTGGCGGTGTCCAGAAGCTCAGCCGTAGCAACACATCACGAACTGCCGCCCTTCGCCGTCGCGACCCGAACTCCAAGAACGTTCCCGTCAGTGGACCGCAAAAGCGCCCCAACCCCAAGCCCGCTCAAGAGGAGACTTCGCAACCGGAGGGACCTCCTCGCAAGAAGCCCGAGATTGAGCAGAAGACCGAGGAGGTTGTGGAAACGAAGAAGCCCGAGCCTGAGGCTTCTGTCAAGGATCTCATCAACGCCGGTGTGCAGGATCTTGACACGGAGGACTTGGATGACCCGTTGATGGCTGCTGAATATGTGGTTGAGATCTTCGATTATCTTAGGGACCTCGAGCTCACCACCCTGCCCAACCCTGATTACATCGACCACCAACCCGATCTTGAATGGAAGATGCGCGGTATTCTTGTCGACTGGCTGATCGAGGTTCACACCCGCTTCCGTCTCCTTCCTGAGACCCTGTTCCTCGCTGTCAACATTATCGATCGCTTCCTATCTGCTGAGGTTGTTGCTCTTGACCGTCTGCAGCTCGTCGGTGTCACCGCCATGTTCATTGCCTCCAAGTATGAGGAAGTTCTCTCTCCTCACGTTGCCAACTTCAGCCATGTCGCCGATGAGACTTTCTCGGATAAGGAAATCCTCGATGCCGAACGACACGTGCTTGCCACCCTTGAATACAACATGAGCTTCCCCAACCCCATGAACTTCCTGCGACGTATCTCCAAGGCCGACAACTACGACATTCAGACACGTACTCTGGGCAAGTACCTCATGGAGATCAGTCTCCTTGACCACCGTTTCATGGGATTCCCTCAAAGCCACATCTCCGCCGCAGCCATGTACCTTGCCCGTCTCATCTTGGAGCGTGGGCCCTGGGTATGTTCAATTATCTCTGTTCTGTTCTCTCCTGTTCATCTCAACTAACTCATATTAGGATGCCACCCTTGCTCACTACTCCGGATATACCGAGGAGGAGATCGACCCTGTCTTCCAGCTGATGGTTGACTACCTCCACCGTCCTGTCTCCCACGAAGCCTTCTTCAAGAAATATGCTAGCAAGAAGTTCCTAAAGGGTAAGAAGACCTCCTCATACCTGCGTGTCACGTTATTGACAGCTTGTCTAGCTTCCATCTTGACGCGTCAATGGGCCAAGAAGTATCACCACCTGTACGTCGACAACACCGAATCGTACAGCTACGCCAAGGACGAGCAGTAATTGTACCATTTACGATGTGATGTCACCCCTGTTCGCCTACGTCGTTGTCTTTCATGATGTTCCAAGGCCCTCGCGACGACGCGAACAGGCAACTCGAGTTCCTACATATGTTGGCATTTCATTGTGCTGGTATCAAATACCTTTTGCATATTCTTACGACGACTTGATATTAAATTTGTTCACTGCCGCATTTGTCTTCTGTGATAGGGGTGTTCGGCGCTCTCTGTGCTAATGTTTGTTTTCTTAAATCATTTGACTTCGGCCTGC